ATCAGAGCCCATCTGATCTGTTTTAGTGCAGAGTTTCAAAGAATGCTAATCTGAGTTCATGACTGCCAATGAATCTGTCTCAGTAGAAGGCTTTAATTCTATGAGATGAATCCCATGCGTGATCTATACCACGTGTCATGAAACTTGGGTCCACCGTTTGAAATGGTGCATCGTGAATAGGAGCCATAGAAGGACGGGGGTTTGCTGACATCTGCCTCCACCTGGATTTGTGGTGGCAGATTTCTCATTTACAGTCAGAGACTTTCCTCTGTTATACTTCAGTATGTTTCCTTCTCTTTAGCTTTAGTTTTTTTCCTTCCTGTTAGAGGAGAAGGATTCTTTGCTGTTCCAAGAATAATTCCTATTCCCACCCTTGATCGGATGAAGATGGCGATGATGATGATGATGATGTTTTGTTTCTGTACAGTTTCTTTTTATGTTATAGAGATTTCATGTGGGGCACTCTATCTGGAAGTAGGTTCTTTGTCTCTCCTAAGAGTCTGCTGAGTGGTTTGAATGTAGCTAGTTTGTGTTCTGGCCACTCTTCTGTTGCCTGAGGGTAGATCGAGGTCCGGATGTGGAGTATAGTCAGCAGGCACTGTGAACAATCCTGTTTTGCAGATTTTGTCTCTATTTTCTTTTCTAATTTAATCCTTTTTCTAATTTTATTGTATTTTTCCTTCCTCCCCACCAGGACACTTGGCCTGAGGGGTTTGCCCCTCTCTGCTGTCCCCATTCCCCTTGCTGCATCCAGTGTCTCACCCCTCAGCCAGAGGAGGGCAAGTCAGAGCAGACACTGAAGCCTTTCTAAAAAATGGGTTTCTGTGAGCTTTGTGTCCCACCTGGCTCTACCTTCTGTTTTGGTTGTCTTCTCTTTGCCCTGGTGGTGAGGGAAAGCTCTCCACCCTTGGATTATGAGAGTGGCTGAACACACAGCACCCGACACTGGTCATGTGTAATCGACAGCAGTTTATTAGTCACGTATCCTCACAGCTTGGGAGAGGGGGACACTGCATGCCACACAGGGCCACATGTAGGCTGCTCCTGGGAACAGGGTGAGCAAGCAGGGTCTGCAGGCTTTGTAGCATTAGGAGGGTAGGCTGTTCCCTGGCTCCCACAGGAGAAAGCGATTGGGGTTTTGAGTAATTCCATGGGCTGGCAGGGAACTGAAATACTACTCAGAGACACACAAGAACTGTCCTCTGGATAAGGAGGGTTGTTTGACTGGGGGAGCTTCTCTGCAGGAGCACAGTGGGGAGAACTTGCTATTATGCCATCTGATCTCACCAGATTTCCAGGCAGCTCATCATATCGAGCCTTAATTTCGATCTCACACCACACGCACACCCCCACCCCTGACTAGGGATTCTCATTATTCTGGATTTATTTTATGTATTTAATCTTGTATATTTTTATTCTTATATTCCATCTTTTACCTTCTTCCAAACTAGAGGAAAAATATGGTGAATTTTCACAGAACGTCTTCTCTCTCAGTATATTAGAGGGGGACTTCTGGTTTACAATGGTATGTTGCATCCTTTGTGAGTAGATTTTTAAACTGGACTGCAGACATTGCATCAGGCAAGCAGAGGCCGATAAGGTTTGAAAAATGTACTTCTTACCTTTTTCAAATCTAACCATATGAAACAGAAGATAACAAATGTAGATAATCACGAAAGGATGAGATGGGTGTGTGTGTGTGTGTAGGTTAGACAAGTGCTAATCTTCAAACACTTATATATGGAATTGTAAAATATATTAGTTTAAATATCAAAAATATATATTCTGGTTTCCTCCTGGGTGAGGGGTTCCCAAGACCATGCCCAGGTTCAGTGGTTTAGAAGGACTCACAGGACGCAGCGAACAGTCCTACCCGTGGCTGGAATTGTTACTGCAAACGGATACAGAGCAAAATCTGCAAAGAGAAAGGTGCATGGAGCGAAGTGCAGGGAATCTGCACGAGCTTCCAAGAGTCCTCTCTCAGAGGGGTAACGTAGGACAGGATTAATTCCTCCAGCAGCAAACTGTTTCTACCAGGAAAGTTCAATAAAGCCAGGGAGCCCCAGGTTTTTATCGGGTTGATCACATAGGCACCCTCTATGTAGTACGCCACAAAATTCCAGACTCCCAGAAGGAAAGCCGGTGTTCAGTATAAGCCATATTGTTTGCACAAACAGTTTAAGATCCATGAGTCAGTCTTAACATTGAGGAAAGAGTGGGAACCTCCTGAAACTCAAGTGTGTGTCAGACCTGCTATGGTACTCTTTTTTGCAGATCTCTCAATATAATATATTTCTAGGTGTATGAGGGGTAAAACTTCTTTCATTTGCCTTTACCTTCTCTTCTTCCCTTAAAAAGTGATGATCAGAGTCAGGTTTATAGGGTAGTCACCAGGAAACAATTGTAGGTATTTAGCGAACACTCACTAAGTGCCTAGCACTCTAGACAACAGCAGTAAAATAAGGAGACATGGCCCCTGCGCACAGGATTTTTATATATTAGCTTAAAAGTGAATTTAAAATGCAAACAAAAGCAATGGCGATGGTTAGAAGGTGAGACATGGTTATTCACAGTTATCAGGTAAGATAACAGTTGGCCTTTGAATGGAATGTTTACCAAATGATTTTACGTTGGCCAAAGGCGAACATTAACCCACCCTGCGTTTTTCTCCCCTTGGCTGCCACCCACCCCAACCCAACTAAGCTATGCCAACCCATTGGCTGTCACTTTGGGGTAAGAAAGCAGTTCTCTCTTGAGCTCCATGTGAAAGAGTGAATAATCAAAGTACCAGAAGGATCTCAGGCATCCTCAGGACATGCAGACAGAAGCATAATTGCAGCAAGCCTCCTCTGTTCCTTCTCCTTCCCAGTCTCCTCATGGGCAAAATGTTCTCTCACGTGGCTTTCACTGTGCCTTTCATTTCAAATCATTGAAGGTCATACCACCTTTTAAAGGTTAATCAGGGCCAGGTGTGGCGGCTTCGCCTGTAATCCTAGCACTTTGGGAGGCCAAGGCAGGAAGCTGTCTTGAGCCCAGGAGTTTGAGACCAACCTGGGCAAAAAAGCAAGACCCTGTCTCTAGGAAAAAAAAAAAAAATTTAAAAATTAGCCAGATGCAATGGCATGTTCCTGTAGTTCTAGCTATTTGGGAGGCTGAGGCGTGAGGATTCCTTGAGCCCAGGTGTTCAAGGTTGCAGTGAGCTATGATCTTACTATTACACTTCAGACTGGGTGACCTTCTCCCAAAAAAAAAATGTTAGCCGGGGTAAGCATGGTGCCAAACACATGAATAAACTTCTCACTGAGATGGAAGAGAACGCTGAAGTTATTCCAGCCATACCCGTGAGCTGCTGGGCAGTTTATGGAATGAGGTGGCAGGCACTGTCCTGTCCTGCAGAAGGATGATGAAGGAGAATATAATGAAATGACTACGTAGAACAGTAAAAATACCAACTTACATAATCACATGTATTACAGAATGTTACATCTTCTTAGCAGATTGTGCCTTTTACTCTTTGAGCAAATCTGGCAAGAAATGTCTCTGGATACTAAATTTTTATAATCCAAAAAACTTGAATCCTAAATTGGTGAGTATCAAGATGCTAGGCCCTAAATCGGTTTCCTACAGTAACGTATAGCTATTGGCCCATCTGCTTTTTCATACTGTGTTATTGTTGAGAAGTCTGATGCCTCCTAAAACTTATTCCTTTATTTATATCCTGCTTTCATTTTTATATTTCTGGAAACCTTGTAGGTGTATTTTTATTGTTGGAGAACTGAATATCATTAGGATATGAAATCTTTCTTTTTCTCATCATCATCAGCACTCAGCTTTTTGTTTCTGATAACTTCCTTTCCTTTGAATTCTGAACGTTCTCTTCCCATTATTTCTGTAATTATTTCTTTCTCTCCACTTTTTCTGTTCTTCCTTTCACTGCTTGGATTAAACTCACATATCTTAAATTGTCAGTTATTTTCCATATCTTTTTTCTGTTTGTCTGCTAGTAGATTTTGTCTGCATTATTCTTGTAGAGACTTAATTTTAATATTTGCCATGAGTAATTATAACTTGGCCCTTGTTGCATTTATAATTCAACAATCATACTGTTAATTCACAAGAATGCCTCTTTTTCCACTGTTTTCCCCTTTATTGTTATACTTAGTTCCTGACTTCTTGTTGCAACTGCCTCTCAAATCTCTCTAAAAAAAAATTATAAATGTTCTTCTCTTTCCTCAATTATCTGCCTTTCGTAGAATGTTTATCACTGTACTTCTTTTTCGTGATGTTGCATTTTCTCTTGATATTGGTTTACAAACCATTGCAAAATACAATCATAAAGTCTCACTTTAAAATAGCATGGTTTTGTCAGTTAGATCAGACTTAGACAATTAGAGGTTTTCTTACAAAACAAGAAGCTTAAGGAGGAAGGCCAAGGCTGGTATGGCTGCCCTGGCATGGATCTATCAATTTTTTCTTCTTTCCATTCTGCCCCCCTTAGTGTATGGGCCAATTGTTAATACTTACAGGATGTCTGGACATCACAGGCACCATGTCAATGCTTCTGAAAGAAGCTGACTTCATCCACTTTCACAAGAAAACATTAGCTTTCCTGGACACTCCACCAAGTAGAATTACATTCATATCTTACTGGATATAACCATCAGATGATCACACTCAGTCTTTTTAGTTAGAACATAGCATCTTGGAGCAAAATCATGATATTCATAAGTTAGGAAAGAAAAGAAAGTGGGTTTTGGCAGGAAGCTAGCAGAGTCTGCTTCTGAGACCAATTCTCTTACAGTACATGGCATTTATGAGGATCAATATAATTATGAATGAATTGGTAAGTGCTGTTATCAATGCCCAGGTAGTCATTAATTGTATATATCTCCAGGCAGCTGTACCTATATATAAAAACTCTAGAGTAATGCATATGTGAATACGCAATCATATTTGGAAAGATATGCCTAGATAAACGTGGCTTTGATTTCTTCTGTTAGCCTCGTGATACCTGTGACAACCACACTAATCAGCTGGATGGCACCAAGGAAGAAAGAGAGCTTCCAAGAGTTATCAAGGCAAGTGGTTCCATGGTAAGTTATAGTTGGAGGGGATGGTGGTAGGCATGAAATAAGCCATTTCTTCAAGACGGTTGAGCAAAACTTGAAAAAAGTGCAATATAATTAAGATGGCTGGACAACCACAGATTTCAACATACTTATCTACCTTAGATAATTTTTAAGGAAAATATTCAGTGGTAAATGAGCTCAAGTTGAGTAGGTAAGCTCGTGAAAAGGTGCTTAGCATTATTAATGATTATGGAAATGCGAAGAAAGCCACAGTAAGATATTTCTAGATACCCTATGGAATGGCTAAACTTAAAAAGACTGACAATACCAAGCAGTGCCAAAGATTCAGAGCAATTAGAACTTTCATGTGTTGTTGTTAGAAATGTAAAATGTTTTATCCACTTGGCAGCATCTTAAAATATTAAGGATAGACCTACTATAAGACCCAACCGTTCTACTCATAAGTAATATGTATACACACAAACACTTATCCACAATGTTTATAGCAGCTTTATTTGTAATAGCCCCAAACTGAAAATATCCAGATGGCCATTTGCAGGTAAATGGATAAAAAAATTGTGGTATGTCCACAAAATGGAATATTACTCAGCAATAAAAAGCAACAAACTATTGATATGCACAGCACAGGTGGATCTCAGAATAATTATACTGTGTGAAAGAAGCCAGACCCAAAAATATTTGATTCACACTAAATGATAGAAAATGTAAACTAACCTATAATGGGGGAAAGATGATCATTGATTGGCTCCTGGGGACAGGAGGGAGGGTGAGGAGGGGAGAGAACTAGAGATTCAAAGGAGGCATGAGTCCATTTTGGGGGGTGCTTGTTTTGTTCATTATCTTGACTGTGGTGATGGTTTCATAGGTCTATATAACTGTCAAAACTCATCAAATTGTATGTTATATGTACTTTATGTACAGTTAATTGCATATATGATATATCTCAATACTCTTTTTAAAAGTCCATTGAATATCTTATAATCTCATTAATAGACAACATATTTATTTTTCAGTAAGCTACTTACACTAAACAGTCTATTCGTGTGTTAGGTATGAATGACCCTTTACTCTAATCACACATGCTGCTAAACCCAAGCACTTACAAAATGTTTACAATCCAATCTACAGTAGTCAGAAACCTACCTTACAAATCAATTCCTATATAGATAAAAGAAGACACCTTCCTTATGTACAGTCAACATAAATGAAATAATCTGTCAAGGTGTTAGTTTATTGAAAATGTAAAACAATCCCTTTAGTTTATTTCCAGTGTCTTAAATGATAACCAAGTAGCTGTACTTGCTATTGATTCATAATTTACTGTCAAATACAATCAGACCATTTGTTAAAAATCAGTTATATCTGTTTGCTTCATATAAAAGAAAATCTAAGGAACTTAATTTTAAGCAAGTAGAAGGTTTTTTTTAAATCACAAAACTAAGAAATTAATGAGAATTAACCAAGGCTTGTACAACTGCAAAACAATGTAGTAGTAGCCTTAGCATGGACTAACAACTTTTTCCTTTCGTGTTGCCACCTTAGCATGTGGACTTAATCCTTATACTTACAGGGTGCTTAGGAGGCTCTGATACCTTGTTGATACTTGTTAGTGTCACCAAAGCGAACTGGGTCAGTTTGCCCGTGCAAAATGGAAAGAACACTGAAGCACCAAGTTTTGCAGCAAGAAGGGTTTTTTTCCAACTCAAATGGCAGGGAGATAGGAGGGAATGCTCAAATCTGTCTCACTGAGCCGGGGATTGGAGCAAGTTTTATAGTTAGAGGGTAATGAGGGGTGATCTGATTGGATCTTGCAATAAGATGATGCCAGGAGGCCTGCTCTGACTGAATCCTGCCATGGGGTGATGCCAGGGCTCAATCTGATTGGATCCTAGATCCTGCCATATGGTGTCTGCTTACTTCAGTCCCTGTTCCTCATTCTGAGCACTTAGGTTCCATCCATGGTTGCATGCTTGGTTCATCTGGTTATGCTCATGTTGCGTGATCTTCAACCTGGGGGTCCATGGTGTAAACCAAAAATAAAATTCTAAGGCCTCCAACTATCTGAATGGACCCCTTCTCTTTGCCAAGGGTATTCCAGAGTTATCTGAAAATCTCATTCAGGCCACAGTGGAAGAGGGGGTTGGACATGCCTCATTATACCCTCTAGCATTAACATCAACACAGACCTTAAGTCTGATAAACATTTACTGTCTATTCTCTCTAAAGCCTGCTACTTGGAGGCTTCATCTGCATGATAGAACCTAGGTCTCCACAACCCCTATCATAACTCAGACATTCCTTTCTACTAATAACCAACTGCCAATCAATTTTTCTTGGTTTTTTGAGACAGAGTTTCACTCTTTTTGGCCAGGCTGGAGTGCAATGGCACGATCTCGGCTAACTGCAACCTCCGCCTCCCGGGTTCAAGCGATTGTCCCGCCTCAGCCTCCCAAGTAGCTGGGATTACAGGCATGCACCACTATACCCAGCTAATTTTTTTGTATTTTTAGAAGAGACAGGGTTTCACCATGTTGGTCAGGCTGGGCTCAAACTCCTGACCTCAGGTGGTCCACCCTCCTCGGCCTCCCAAAGTCCTGGGATTACAGGCATGAGCCACTGCGCCCAGCCCATTTAGAAAATTTTTAAATCTACCCATGACCAGGAAGCCCCTGCTTCAAGTTGTTCCACCTTTCCAGATCAAACCAATGTGAATCTTACATGTACTGATTTTGATGTATTATGTCTCCCTAAAATGTATAAAAGCAAGCTCTACTCTGACCACTGTGGGCACATGTTGTCAGGACACCCTGAGACAGTGTCATGGGCACATCCTTAACCTTGACAAAATAAACTTTCTAAATTGACTGAGAGCTGTCTCAGATATTTTGGGTTCACAATGGCAACTAAAAAACAACTCACCACTTAGTTACATGAAAGTCGAACCAGACTGGTCTCAGGGAGGGGTTATATTAGGAACATGTGACAACTGACTGTCCATTTTTAAAAGGAAACCTTCACTCTCCTGGAAAACTTGTACAGTAGAATTTCTCTCTGTCTCTCTTTTTTTTTTTTTTGACAAACTGTTACACCCTTAATGTGACCGTAAGTTTTTTCTATTCTTATTTTAGTTGCCTGGACCTCATTCCTTTATAAATAAACTTCTCTAGGTTTTTGTGTTTGTTCTCTCTGCAACTTTTTAAATTTTATAAAATTTGAATTTATTTTGAACTTATTGCTGGAATTCTGAACTTTCACAAAGATCTTCTTTTTATCTTTTTCTCCTCGTCAGCACATAGTGGGTCTTTTCTAAGAGTAATTTTCTTTCTTCAGTTGCTGGATATTTTCTTCTATTATGTCTTAGATTATTTTTCTCTCCACTCCCATCTTTCAAGAGCACATATTGGATGCTTTGCTTCAATTGAATTTGAATAGCTCCTAGATTGTATTGAAGGCAAGCCCCTCTGGAGCTGCCTCTGCGAAGACACTAGCTATAGCAAGGGAGGTGCAGCCAGGGTTGTGCCTTCTGTGGGGCCAGCAGGAGCCAGGAGCAGGTGGGAGCCCTGCCCCCTACTGAGTTGGCAGGGTGGGAGCCCTGTGCTCCCAGGCACAGCCGCAGTTGTCCACCTGCAGCACTAGACCCGGGCATCTCTGTACTCTTGGTGGCCTGGGAAACCCCTCCTCCCACAGGCTTGGAAGTGCCTGCTCATGCTCCCTGGCCTCTCCCCGCGCCTTTCGCCCACTCCAGTGTGGAGCAAAGTTGTGGCACAGCCTGGGTGCTGTCGCAACCCCACAGGGTGTGCACATGCTCAGGTCAGTGCTTACACTCCAGCCCCCTCCCGTCTTGGCCCTCCTCTGAACTTTGGGCACCAACCAGCATGGGAGGGAGGCCAAGGTGGGTGCTGAGGGCAGCTCAGCACAGCTCTGCAGGTACCCCTCAGCAAGAACAGCCTAGGCACTGTGGATGGCATGTTGATGGTGGGAGGCAAACAGGTTGCTGGGCAGAGAGGGTCAGGTACCTGGTGAAAACCCACCTTCAAGCCAGGAACAGCCTGAAGCCAGGAGGATGGGCTGCCAGCTCTGAGTGAAGTCCGCTGACCTGACTGAGGACTTCATTGATGATCATTTAGCCAATTGGATAGTGCTTTTTCCAAGCCCACCCATGGCCACCCATGGACCAGTCAGCATGCACTTCCTCCCTTCTGAGCCCATAAAAACCCCTGGACTCAGCCAGTCACACAGATGTCAGGGACTACAAGGGCTACAAGGATGACCTGTCTGCAGAAAGGAGCTACCCACTGGGGGTCTCCTGAGAGCTGTTCTGTCACTCAGTGAAGCTCCTCTCTGTCTTGCTTACCCTCCCGTTGTCCGTGTACCTCATTTTTCCTGGACCTGGGACTAGAACTTGGGACCCACCAAATGGTGAGACTGAAAGAGCTGTAACACAAACAGGGCTGAAACATGCTTCCCACTTGCCACATTGTGGGCAAACTAGAAGGAGAGAAGAGCTGTGGCCCTTTGGGGAGCCCAGACCTAGGGGCTCTCTGAGCCAGGGCTGTGACACCCTCTTTGGGGCTCTGCATTTCCTCGGATCTCCAAGCTTCTAGGCACCACCACATTCCCTGGTGCCCACAGTGGAAGTCATCTGTGGTACACCTGGTCCAGCCACAGCCTTGTACAGAGCCAGTGCCTGTACTGGCACCTGGAGCTGCCTGCCCCACGGCAGTCGACGTGCCTGGCTCTGTGCTGTGGCTGGACCCTATGCTTGCTCACACACTACTTGCCACTCTGCACCTAGCTTGCCCTTGGCAGGCGTGGGATCTGGGCCAGTAGCACAAGGCAAGTGCAGCCTGCTGGGCCAAGTGGGCGGAATGAATCCAGTGGGCCCGAGCAAAACTCGGACAAAGGCAGCACCCATCACAGAGGCTTCCGGCTAGAAAAGCGACACCCTGAGGATTCTGTGAAATTAGCTCATATTACTCTGTTTGCTCTGTTTTCTAGTTTTCTTCAACTTCATGCTCCAGATTTGAGAATTTTTTTCTTGGTCATTATTGTATTTTTATTTAGCTTGTCTCACTCTTTTTATAATGTTTGGCAAACAAATTATGTCCCAAAGCAATTTTTAATCTCTAATATACCCATTATTATAGCAATATCATCTCAGTTCAAAGCAGCAATGGCCCTTTTAAGTTTCTCAGAAGGTAAGAATTACATTATTTTTAGAAAATCAAATAATTTTTATGTTTTCTTAAATTGAAGTATAACTTACAAACTATAAGTGCATACATTTTAGATGTATAATTCAGTAATTTCAGTTGTGTTTTTGTTTTTTGTTTTTTAGAGACAGGGTCTCTGTTGTCCAGCCTGGAGAGCACTGGCACAATCATAGCTCACTGCAGCCTCAAACTCCTGGGCTCCAATGATCCTCCCTCCTCAGCCTCTCAAGTAGCTGGGACTACAGGTGTGCACCACCACACCCAGCTTCAGTTAATTTTCACAAATGTTATCACCCATGTAATTACAGTTAATCAAAATATAGAACATCTCCATTACCCAGAAATTTCTCCTGGGCCCTGTCAGTCAGCAGGCCCCCTGTCCTGGAGAAGCAAGCCCAGCTGTGATTTCTAACACCTTAGTTTGGTTTCTCGTTTCATATAAGTCTAATTATAGTATGTTCTTTTATGTCTGGCTTCTTTAATTCATAATAATTTTGATATTCATCCATTTGTTGCATGTTTTAGGAATTTAGTCCGTTACTAAATAATATTCCATTGTATAAATACACCACTATTGATGTTCACCTGATGATGGACATTTGGATTGTTTACAGTTTGGAGTTATTACAAATAATCCTGCCCAGAACATTTATGAATACAAATGTAGAATAAAGGATATAAATTCTCATTTCCCTTAGGTAAAGATGCTACATAATTCAGATTGTCAGCAAACACAGCCGCATCTCTCCATCACCCATAGCTGTTAAACTTAGTAAAGAATAATTTAATAGGTAAATCTAAAATAACTAAATTCTATCATTACAAAAGATCTACAGGCAGAAACAACAACAGAAAATCATTTTCTATTGCATATCCTGTGTGGAGGATGTTGTCAACGAAAGCTAGGTCTTCATGAGTTCACACAGAAAAAATAACAGACTCCTGTATAAATATTTTTCCATTATCAATATAGATATAAACGTTTAGTTTTTTCCAAGTTATTTTGGAAATGTAAACATCGCGTGTAGAGAACGCATTAGCTTTTGGAATGTGTGGCAATCTGTGAGTGCACAGTGATGTGAGTACCATGTGGTCAGGGACCTGCGTGCCTCCCGCTGGGTGGCAGTGAGTGTTTTCAGGTTTTAGGTTGTGCCTCCAGTGGAGGGAGAGCTTCCGACCACGACTATCAATCCAAGGTGTTTCATCTTGTCCTCCTCCCCAGCCCCTCCCCCAGCCCCGTCTATCAGAATCTTTTACAGCCGGGGGGGTGATAGGATTCACCCTACGCCTTCACGTAAGGACACAGTGTGTGAAAGGTATTCTCAAGGCAGAAGCTGTCGGCACATTGCAGGTAGAAGGAATTACAGCTCACTGGGCCTCTAAAGTTTTCTGCAGAGGCATAGAGCTGGACTTTATTGATTTTTCTGATTGATTTGTATAGGAAATTGTTTCCTTTGCAATTGAGTTTCCTTTGCAGTTGAGTAGATCTATTTTCCAGAAAGGCCAAAATTGTTGATTGTGTGTTTGTGTGAGTGAGGGGGGCTTAACTTTAACGTGTGTAAAGGGGATAGGCTGGTTAGTACGCAGGCTCCCCAGATGCAAAACCAAACTAATGAGGGAGATAAAAGCTGATTTCATTTCTTGTTCTCCCCTCCATGTCTTTTTTTGTGGCATCCTGAGTTCCTTCTCCCTTAGACTTCTATACTCAAGCTAGGAATTCATCCATCCCCAAGGCAACAGTTTCATTTAATTTAGATCGCATCTTTTTGGTGTTTTTTCCTTGGGTTATATTTAGTTGCTGTCTACATATTTATGGAAAGAGAGGTCAGCCTGGCTCCTATTTTTCTAAACATGTCTTAATTATTTGTCTGTGGCCGTTTCTTACTCTTTGTTCATTCTACGTTATTTGTTTTTCTCTTCCCTTCCTAGACATTTTATCTTATGTTGCTCTTAGGAAGAGATTTTTAACTTATCAAACCAATCTCATTTGCTTTACACCTACATATTTCACATTTGGCCTGCTGTGGAATTCTTGGCTGGTTTCCAGTGCTATTCAAAACCTTTTCTTTTAAAAAATATATGTTTTTCTGCCATTTGTAGTTATTTGGGTGGCAGGGGAGGTAGATTGTCAGTTTCACCATATTGACTTAAATTTCTTTTTTTTTTTTTTTTTTGAGACAGAGTTTTGTTCTTGTCGCCCATTCTGGAGCACAATGGCACAATCTTGGCTCACTGCAACCTCTGCCTCCCAGGTTCAAGCAATTCTCCTGCCTCAGCTTCCCAACAGGCATGCACCACCACGCCCGGCTCATTTTTGTATTTTTAGTAGAGATGGGGTTTCACCATGTTTTCCAGGCTGGTCTCAAACTCCTGACCTCAGGTGATCCTCCTGCCTCAGCCTCCCAAAGTGCTGGGATTACAGGCGTGAGCCACCATGCCCAGCCAACTTAAATTTCTTATACTAGCTCTTGTTTCTTATTTGTTTCTTTAAAAAAGAAAAAAAAGATATTTGTTCATTTTGTAAAGTAATGTATAATGTCTCTAGAAAATTGAGAAAATACAGTCAAGCAAAATGAAGAATGCCATTTAATCAAATGCATTAAATTTTGCAGTGAGTTTTGTTGCTGAAGAAAATAATATTCACATCTTAATTTCAGTGGCACCATACTACACTACAACAAAAATCTCTTAGTTCCAGCTTTATTAAAAAACAAAAAACAAACAAACAAAAAAACCTTGATACTATGGCTACTAAATTCTATTCACTACAAAAAACAGTCATAGAATCTGCTAAAAAAGATTATGAGATTAGTCCAGTTAAGTTTGTGTTTGGATACATGTAATCAAAAAGTTGGAGTTATTTTGCTTCACATGGAGACCCTTCAGATGGGTGGCCCATGTCTGATAGGCCAGCTGCATGGACACAGCCAGGCTTGCTTTTCTGTCCCTGACTTCTTCCCGGTGCCCGTTGTCCTCATTTGTACAAGATGCTTGGCAGCTCCAGGCTGTCATCTGTGGTCCTATCATGAGCATATATCAGCTGAACCTGTTTTTTTTCTTAGTAAATACACTTGGTAAAGTTTCACTTACACCTTGTTGGCCACGTGACCCCTCTTAACTGCAAATGAGACTGGAAATCAGATTTTTTGATTCACCCCAATTCCCTGGAACAAAACCAAGATATTGTTAAGGCAAATAGAGTTTGTGGCAGGCACATCAGTGTCTGCCACAGAGGCCAGTGTCCTTAGAGGGCTAGGCACCTAGGTGGCTCATAGTAATGCTGCACTAGCAGTTGGATGCAATTGTCTATGCACAGGCAGTCATGATTGCATATATTGCCACACATATCTCAGTATGAACACAGAACAGAATACACAAACACATTAGAAAGTATTTGCCTGAATAAGAATGGTACTTTTATTTCTCCATTTAGCCAGATGATGCTTCTCTCAACAGTACTACCCTGTCTGACGCGTCCCAGGATAAAGAAGGGAGTTTTGCAGTTCCCAGGAGTGACTCTGTGGTAAGTCATCCATGTCAGCACAGTTACATGTCAAGGTACAGTTGCAAGTCAATGCAACTAATGTAGGAAGGTAAGAAGAAGCAATTCTTGAAAACATTTTAAAAATACTTGAACTAAGATCGCAAGGAAACCACAGCTGCTGGTAGAATTACTGACTTTGTAAAAATTAGGAAGAAAGAGGCTCAAAATGAAAGAGGACTCCATGAATTAATATATCACTGCAGTGAGAATTCCAAGGATATATATATATCTATCTCAATTTGGAGAAATTTGTTAACTTTGGTCTTCTCGGCTGAGTTCACTTAGAAAAATCCCAGAGGTTTGATGATGTGGCTTAACTGCCATCTTAACCCAGAAGTTCCTTTTACCCACAGGATAAATTCAAAACCTTCATGTTGATATTGAAGACTCTCCACTATGCCTACATTTCCAGCCTTAATTCTCAGGACTCACTCATGCAAACTCTTTGCCTTCAGATGAATTCATTCACTTGGTCTTAAATAGCAGAACTTGTACTTTTGTTTTGTCAAAAATGTTTGTCATTCCCCCTCCCGTCACCCCCACTGCGAATCCCCAGTCAGTGTCTCTGAGCAGGTGCTCTGCAGGGAGGATATTATAGACCCTCCACAGAAGACAGAGACCCCATTAGATGAGGCAGTGGTTTTCCAGTGGCAGGTTGATGGAAGGCAGCAGTTAGCACAATAGCCACTCAGATGGAGGTGGCACGTTCAAAGGTTCTGCTGGGGCAGTTGTTTCTCAACCCCTGTCCATTTCGAGAAACAAGGAGCTGACGACATTTACATGCATGACACATTCCTAGGAAATCCCTGTTGTTTAGGGAGATAATGCTGTTAGCCCCATATAGATTTGCTTTATTGTTATGTTTTTAGATTTTTGTTTATGCTATTGTTTTGTTGCACAGTGATCATGTAAGAGGAATAAAATAATGTGAGTGACTTTTATCTTTTACTAATAACTCTGTAGGTTATGGCATAAATAGGCTGAGGGATGCCCACAATATCTGACCCACTGGCTGTAAATCAGCTCTTTCCCATTCAAGACCCAGCGTTGGGATGCAAATGAGTGAGAGTGTCTGTATTTTAGACATCACCTCAAATTCATCCCATTTATTAATGAAAACAAAGTCATTCATTCACAAAGTCTGGTAACTGTTGGAATAAGGAGTGACCTGCGGTAGATCTTACACAGTTGTGCTGTTCCCTTGTGACTGGGGACTTGTGCTCTGAGGACTTGCCCAAGATCCTTTATCTTCCATCGCAACTTGTGGCACCCATGTGCCCAACAGGCACCCCTGCGTGGCAGCCTCAACTCTGCCTACCTCCTCCCCTCTTCATGCCCATCTCTGAGACCTGTGAATTTCATCATGTAAATGATTGTAAAATCTTTCTGCTCCCCTCCTGTCTTATACAGCCTCTTAGTACAGAAACTCATCGTTATTCTCCGTACTGCTGAAGCAGCCTCCTGAGTGATCTCCAGACTTTAGCTTTATTCTCTTCAAATCCATCCTTCCCAGAGCCTCAAGTCATTGATCTAAAATACAAGTCTTGCTTACAGCCTGCGGTGGTTCTCCAACACTTTCTAGTTAACATGGGAGCTCCTGACATGGTCGGACCCCTTGTCGGCCTCTGTAGTTGGCTTTAACACCCTCAGCATTTCGTACAAGCAGCAGCACAGGACTGCATGTGGTTCCACGCACGCACCAGCAGAACTTGAAGGAGGATGATTGTGTGATTGAGTTGCCAAAGAAGAGGATGGTAGGCGTGCCTTCCTTTCTAGGTGCTTCCATGGCCGCTCCATGGCCACAGTTTTATTTCTGATAAGACTGTTGGTCATATTTTTCTATCTCTTTATTCTTAGCTGCGAACTTCTTCGCATCATTGGTTCATTCAGTCATTCACTCAGCAAATTCTTATTGAGCGCATATGGTCTACAAATAGGCTTCTTGCCAGTTTGAGGGTATAAGAGAAAGAAAACGGTCTTTTGTGGCAGTTATAGAGCTGTCCAGATAAGTTAATCACCCAGATTTTGTTTTTATTTTCATTTTGTTTTTTTCTGAAGGTAGATTGAATGCCAGTAATGATATAAATAAAAGTTTCAGCAGTATTGGGTCTAAAAAATACCTCACTGGCACTGGCCTTCAACTTACCTTGGATTATTTGTTACTCAGAGTATCTTTTAGAAAAGTTAAACAAAATGGTTATTTGCTGCAGTGGCTCACAGATGCCGAGTTAATGCTTTGGTAACTACATTTAGGGTCATGTGCTTCTTGGTTATAAGGAACCACAGGGATCCCAATTTGGTTTCCGAGTCTTCCAGAAGGAGGGATATCCAGTCATTAAATGAAGCAGGGGCCAGGGCTTCAGGGGTCCTGTCTGTGACACCTGTAAAGATAAACTTCTCCTGCCAGGCTAAATTCCTGGGGCCAATTTACTGTCATCCCCAAGACTTCAGGGGGCCCCAGCAACTTGCCCTACTGGAATTTACGTTGTAAAATGGTATGAAGAAGGGAACCTAAATTATCTTTTCCATAAGATAGCCATGACCTAACCCGTATCTTTCCCCTAGTCTTTCATCTTTTCTGCACGTTTGAAATGCCAACTTTATGAGAAGTAAAACCGCCAGGTTTGCAGATGTCTGTCTCTATGGTTTGTTTTTGAAATCTGTTAGAGTAGGTTCCCCCTCATGAAAGTCTGCATTAGAATTTCCTTTGGCCCTTCTTAGAAATTTTTTCTTCCAGATAAACATAGAAAAAGGCTAGGACTACCCCGTAAAAAATCTTGTTGTGACTTTATTAAGAATTTCATTGAATTTAAAGATTATTGTTGGAGAGAGAATTCACATCTCAAAACATTGAGTCTTCCCATTGAGGAATAATAATTGTGTTTTTCCATTTATTTATGCCTTCTATCCTTCAGTGAGGTTTCATAATTTATTCCTTTAAGTCTTACACACATTTTCACACATGCTAGTTTGCACTGGTATTTAAATCGTAAGATTTTTAATGATATTTTCTAGCTTGTTTTGCAGATATATAAGGAAAGTAGGTTGTTTTGTTTCTTATAACAGTGTCTCCTTTAGCTTCCTTCCTGAAGCTTTTCTACTGCTAAAAATTTTTCATTTAATTTTATGACTTTTCTCAGAACTCATCTGCATATACTGAAAATTTTATTGACTCAATATGTAAAATAATTACTCATCTCATTTTTTTCCCTTAGAGGACTGACCACAATCACTTATAATGTTGATTAATAATTAGGATCATTTGATAAGTTCTGGATTTTTCTTATGAATTCTTCTAATGTTTCATCATTAAGGAGAGTATTTATTCTAGGGTTCTGAGCCTTATAAATATTTTAATCAGGAATGGAGTTTGAATTATATCAAATGATTTTCCAGTATCTGTTAAGATGAATGTATTGTTTTCCTTCTTTAATCAGTTAATTTAGGAAATTACATTGATAGGTTTTTCTTATATTGAACTATAATTATATTTCATTTCTTAGATGAACCCAATTTATTGTGTTATGTTATTCTTTTTTTTTTTTTTTTTTTTTTCGGAGTCTCACTCTGTCACCCAGGCTGGAGTACAGTGGCACAATCTCAGCTCCACTGCAAGCCCGTCCCCCGGGTTCACGCGCATTCTTCTGCTCAGCTCCCTGAGTAGCTGTGACTACAGGCGCCCTGCCACCACACCCAGCTAATTTTTGTTAGAGATGAGGTTTCACCATGTTAGCCAGGATGGTCTCGATCTCCTGACCTCGTGATCTGTCCGCCTCGGCCTCCCAAAGTGCTGGGATTACAGGCGTGAGCCGTCGCGCCTGTAGAATTTGATTCACTACTATTTTAGTATTTTAACCTCCGTTCTAGTAAATGGGATTAGTCTATACATACAATTTATTAAAATTTGTTTACAGGGTTATTCTAATCTTTGCACAAATATGTTGAAAACCCTGGGTTCTTTTCAGTACCTTGGAGTCATTTACTGAACTATGATATAAACATATATAAATCTACACATATTTATAATTTATATATATTTCTGATATATTTAATAATTTGTTTATGAAATCTCCAAAGCCTGGTATCATTGTAGGCATAAAGCTTTGTTTAATTTTTTTTTTTTTTTTTTGATGGAGTTTTGCTCTTGTCACCCAGGCTGGAGTGCAATGGCGCGATCTCGGCACACTGCAACCTCCGCCTCCTGGGTTCAAGCGATTGTCCTTCCTCAGCCTCCTGAGCAGCTGGGATTACTGGTGCCCGCCACCACGACTGGCTAATTTTTTTGTATTTTTAGTAGAGACAGGGTTTCACCATGTTTATCAGACTGGTCTTGAACTCCTGACCTCAGGTGATCCACCCGCCTTGGCCTCCCAAAGTGCTGGGATTACAGGCGTGAGCTGCTGCGCCCGGCTTGTTTATTTTTATTTTATTTTATTTTATCTTTTTGAGACGGAGTCTTGCTCTATCACTCAGTCTGGAGTGCAGTGGTGCAATCTTGGCTCACTGCAACCTCTGCCTCCCAGATTCAAGCCATTCTCCTGCCTTGGCCTCCCAAGTAGCTGGGACTACAGGTGCATGCCACCATGCATGGCTAATTTTTGTATTTTTAGTAGAGACTGGGTTTCATCATATTAGCCAGGCTGGTCTCAAACTCCTGACCTCGTTATCCACCTGCCTTGGCCTCCCAAAGTGCTGGAATTACAGGTGTGAGCCACCACACTGGGCCTGTTTAGTTTTTTAATGGATGTAATTTAAGGGTTAGATTATTTTCTATCCCAATTTGTATGAATTTTGGTAATGTATATTTGCTTTAGCAAGATATACAATTTATTTCGAATTTCAAGGTATGTTATAAATTTATTGTGTGTGTGTGTATACACACACATATACGTGCACACACATATACAAATGTTTATTTACATTATAATTTTAAAATTATCTGTGATGGTAAATATTATTCATTTTTGTTTCTAAAATGTGTGTGTTATGTCTTAATCAGACTGTAAATAGTTGCCCATATCAGCAATATATTTTAAATTAATAAATGTTACTGTTTCTTATTTATTTATTTTTGAGAGAAAGTCTTGCTCTGTTACCCAGGCTGGAGTGCAGTGGCGTGATCATGGCTCCCTGCAGGCCTTGAACAACTGGGTTCAAGCTGTCTGCCTACTTCCGCTTCCCCAGTAACTGGGACTACAGGTGTGCACCACCATGCCCAGCTAAATTTTTTTTTTTTTAGGTAGAGATGAGGTCTTGCTCTATTGCCCAGGCAGAACTTTATTTTTTAGAGCAGTTTAGGTTCACAGCAAAATTGAGTAGAAAAGTACAGCGATTTCCCCTATCTCACCATTCCTATGTATGCCTAATCTTTCCAGCAGCAATATTTTTAAAGAAATAACTAACTTTATTTAATTGTGCCTATTTTTTCCTATTGCAGTAATTTATTTAAACCTTATTTTTTTTTACATTCTGTCTTGGCTCTACTTGGGTAATTTTTTCTCATCTCTTAGAGTATGAAGATATTTCACTTAATTTTAGTCATTTGCATTAAAGTTAAGAATCTCTGAATAATACTTTGGCTATTCTCATGGATATCTGGTATTTAATATTCTCATTGTCTTGATATTTAGGTAATAATTTCAGATGTGAATTATATTTTAATTCAAGACATCATCAGAATACCTTTAAATTCATGTTGAATAGATTTTGCAAGTGTTTAAAATGTATTGCATATTTGTCAGTGAATGTGGCTTCCTTAAGTTGGTCTCTGGGGAATTTGACAGTGTTTGCTAGTTGTGGATTTGTCCGTTCTGATCTTGGTTGCAGAACAAGAAGATGAGGAGCCTTACTGTCTTTACTGAATCAAGCACAGGTGACTTTAGTACATGGCGTCATATAGCACAGAAACTCAAACCATGAGCAAAAACCAAACCGCCAGTCAGAGATATCAGAAACACATTTTGAGTCAATGAAATTTTAAGTAGTGAACCGAGCATTGAAAATGTTTTGTATAATCTTTATTGAATATGGAGGACATACCAGATAACGTTAGTCAAAGTCTAGTTATAAGAGAAAACTATAGCAAATAGTACCAGGCTCCTACAATTTAAAATTAAACATAATAACCCCTCATACTCTACTTTCCAGTCCTAGCTTGGTGTAACTAGGGCAGCAGAGCAACTTTCAGCAGAGGGAAAGCACCCATTGTGATTCTGTCACTTTCCTTAGCAATGAAAGCCGTGGCGAGAAACACATGTGGTTGAGCACATTAGGGAAACGGTGAGCTCAGTTATGAACAAGCTGGGAAGGTTGCTTTAAATGGGGGTGGTCTTTATATTTAAAATACATTAAAATCACTAGTACAAATAAAACAATGCTAGTTGTAATATGATCCTTAATGAGGAACGGATGTTTTAAAATAATGTATGTCAAACATCTAGCCTTCCTGCTCAATCTACATCCCAACTCAGGTACCATTTACTGGCTGCCACTGTTCCTTCATCTCCACCATGAATCATTCTCCCGTTGTAACACAAGAATGCACATGTGTTTGTCTTGCTCTGTTTTGTTTCTAACCCTGAGGATTCTAAGTCTCAACTCCTTGACCTGGCTTTCAAAACCTTCCAGAATTTGCACTGACTCTTCTGATTAATTTATTTCTTGTGTTTTTCTAATACCATGACTCGACTCCCGGTACCCCAGTCTCTTCATGATCCCCGGTGCTGAAATGCTTCAGATATTTCCATGCCTGAAATTTCTGCTTCCATCTCCGTCTGGCCTGAATGCTTCTGCCTGTCTCCTCTGCCTTTGGAAGTCCTTTTCATTATTCCTTAAGTTCCAGCTCAAGTCCAACCACCTCATCAGTGGAAACCTTCTGGGCAGCACCTCTTCCCTCTCAGTCGCTCTCCAATAACATTTGCAGCTGGGATTACAGAAATTAGTTCTTAACAGTGGCTTGATTGTCTTTTCCTAATGCTATGTAAGTGTTACTCTGTTCTTCTCATTGTAAGTAGCTCAAGAGCAGGGATTATGACTCAAATTTCTGCCTCCCTCAAGAAAGTCCCACAATGATTTACATTACAAAGAGCAGGCACTCATTCAGTACAATTAACTGGCTAGGGGCCAGTTAAACCGTCAGAGAAAATTAAGAAAATGACATTCAGTAGGTTTAAGTATCCCAAACCATCCGTTTCAAGGCCTAAATAAATTAAAAAAGTCTTATCAATTTTCAAAAGAATCTTCTCGCCCATAGGTAAGTTATTTCAAAGTCTGACAAAGCATTTCTTTGTTGGAAAACTTAAGGAAAGAGAAAAGTTGTCCACATCTCTTTAAGGATTTGAGTGTGTGGGTAATCTTTATTCCGTGGTGTTACTTGTAGGGCCACCAAAGATCTGCCAGACAATGAACCTGCATGATCCTAGACCTTTTTACAGTTTGTCATTCTTCCACCAATTATAGGAATTGGGCATCTATGTTTCAATAATTGGGCACCTATTCATATGCCATTTACACAATTATAATTGTATCAACTTTTTTGAAATAAAATAGGAATAAAAGGAGATCATGAGGCTCAGAATTCAAGACTCCTTTGTGCAACTTGTAGTATCTGATAAAAGACCTTTCATGAAGCAGGTGTTCAATTATTGCTAAATAAATACGAGAATAAAAAAAAATCAGGCTCTAGGGGAAAACATTTTATGTGTGAATAGCATATAAAATATTCTTGATGGAGTAGCAGATTTCACTATCACATATTCACAGATAACTCCCATATTAAAATTTATAAGATTTACATGTAAATTGTTTTGATAGGATTTGTGTGTAAATTTTTACTGATACCCATCCAGACATAGGCAGTAGCTTGCTTCACAGGCCTTTACAAGGTTAGATACTCAACTTGTGATCATCCTGCAGAGGAGTTCAGTGCTCTGGCAGGATTTCAATTTAAAAAGTACAAAATTAATTAAGAGGGGAAATTGAATTAGAAAAGATACCTAATATTTTGTTAGTTACTATCACTGTATTTTGCTGCGAGGGAATTAATATGTTAATGTTATATAAACATAATATAATTAATATAAGTAAGACAAAAATGCATGAAGATTCATTAACAAATGATATTATAATTATCAAATTATGTGACATCAGGCCTCATAATTTCTACATCTTAGCAAAGGTATAAGCAGCAAATATTTAAGAGCTAGGAAAGCCCAGTTATATGGACCTTACATTGTTCCCTTTTGTGAAACCTGTGTAAGCTCACCATCCAAACTGAATGCAGAAACAGGAAATCAGATGCAGCCCCTTCATGAAACCAAGAATGGCTTTTTTGTGTGAAAATAACTGTTGTATACTGCAGAACATAAGTCAGGCTGAAATGTGGGGTGGACGGTATTTATGGTACAATGTTTTGTATTCATCTTCCTTTGCTTGGCAGGCTATACTTGAGACCATTCCAGATCTCCCAGTTCATTCCAATGGATCACCGGAGCCGGGACAGCCAGTGCAGAACGCAGTCAGTGGTGAGTGGCGTGCCTCCCATTGAACTTCAGCTGTGTCTTCTCGCTTTTGTCCTGGCACTCAGTACAGTTAGCAGTGAATTTCTAAAAGCAAAGTGTAAGTGTGCTTTTCTCCCTGTTGTGATTCTGTCACTTCTAGCACTCACTCCTCCCACCCAACTCCGAACACCCCATTGTGTCACACAAGACAAGATTAACTAAGCGAGATTGGAGGCAGAATCTTTTCCTCCTTCACGACCACCTCATGATGTAGAAACTCCTCCTGTGGGTAGTGTCTTTGCTTTAAAGGCTCTTTCCCGAGTGATGTGGTCTGCTCCACCGTTTCAGGCAGGCCAGGAAGTAGGCCTCTTCTGAGGATCTCTACTTTCTGCTCAGGCATACGCAGCACCAGAGCAGCCTGCCCTGACAGGGCTGCCGGGGACGCTTTTATCTGGACCTCTTCCACTTGAGAGGCGGGCTCCCTAGATGGGCTCCGTATGGAATCTCAGATCCTCCTTGTAGGAAATAGGCCCCTTTTGGCCATACTTTTGTGATTTCTCGGTTTTTCCCAAAATATGTGCATTCTTTTTGTAAATAATGGAGCCTGTACTTTTTTCAGCTTTGACTTCAAAAATCAAAGATGTTGAGGTGATGAGAATGTTCTAAAATTGATCATGGTGATGGTCGTACCACTCCGTGAATATGCTAAAAACCATTGGCAGGTATACTTTAAATGGGCGAATTGAATGGCATGTGAAGTGTATCTCAATAAGGCTGATAAGAAAAAATAAAAATAAAAAAAGAAGGGACTTGCCAGACATTCGTATTCTACATCATTCTATTTGTTGCCATACTGTGACTTAGTTGAAATCATGCCACTAAAAGCTAGCCGTCTGCGTGGAGTGGTCCTGTGGTTTGGAGCACTGGCCTGCTTAATTGCTGCTCTCAAAAGAGTCTCTTCATAGATGCGTAGGTAGTTAGAGTTCTATTTGTTTATCTTCCTCTGTTTTGAATGCAAGCCCCTGTATAACAAGAGAACATCATAGCTCTCCCTTTGCCATTTTCTTTATTTTATTTTATTTTTTTGAAACAAGAGTTTCGCTCTTGTCACTCAGGCGGCTGGAGTGCAGTGGTGTAATCTCAGCCCACTGTAGCCTCTGCCTGCCGAGTTCAAGTGATTCTCCTGCCTCAGCCTCTCGAGTAACTGGAATTACAGGTGCCTACCACCATGCCTGGCTAATTTTTGTAATTTTAGTAGAGACAGGGTTTCTCCGTGTTGGCCAGGCTGATCTCAAATTCCTGACCTCAGGTGATCTGCCCACCTCGGCCTCCCAAGGTGCTGGGATTGTAGGCGTGAGTCAGCGTGCCTGGCGTCCCTTTGCTGTTTTCTAAGTTCTCGCTGCGCTCATTTATTATTGTGTTTTTAATTAGCATCTGAAAAAAACTATTCAGAATTTTTATATCTGTTGACTTACAAATTTCTCCACCTAATTTTAATGTAAAATTAACTAAGTTTTTTTAAATTCTGCCTTTTGTTCCTTTTGTTTTACTTGGTAGTCCCCTAGTCAGTGCCTACAGCAGAGGGCAATAGAGAATGAGTTCTTTTTATAATAAAATAATTATTCACTTTGCATGTGAACAGTTTTGCCAGGCAGTGAAACCAGATGACAAGCTGAAATCTGAATCAGAAATCAGGTTAGGATTGCCCAAATGATTTATGGATTCACTTGTTTTTGCTCAATGAATCTTTTGTCTTAATTTTCTAATTAGCTTGAGAAAAACGTTTTTAAGGGGTACTACTTATCACCCATTCAGCTTTTTCTCAATGTATGTCATACAAGATCAGTTAACCAATATTAAATAACAAATTCCGATTAATTCACCTAAACAGATTTAGCCATGAAATACAAATGGAATTTGAACAAACCTTAGGAGGCAGATATTCCACAGGTGAGAAGAGAAACAAGAGGAGTCAAAGTAGAGAGGAATTCTAGCAGATTCCACCCTTTCTTCCTCTGCTTTAAGCTTCTGCTTACCCATAACAGTGACACTGGGTCTAGATGAGCTTAATTTTAATATCATAAGAATATATATAAATACCCCATTTTGGACTTTCTTTTAATAATCTTCAGCAACTTTCATGAGACATGCAAATCTAAAATTTAAAACACTCAGATTAAATTGTTTGGGCAATGATGATAAAAGTATGTCCATGTGGAGGTCTGTGATGCGACATTATTGTTTAACTGAATTCCTTGGGGTGAGTCTGCTGCTTTTCCTTGCATATAAACACTATAACGTGCTTGTGGATTCACTTGTAAATATTTTGAATTTATTTTATAGCAAATAGTATTGATTGATTAAATGGCATATTAAATAGTCTATATTCTTTGTTTTGTCTTTAGATGATGATTATCTAGAAAAGAGCATTCCACCAGAGGCTGAAGAGCTGTCATTTGAAGTGTCTTATTCAGAAATGGTTACAGAGGCTCTAAAAAGAAAGAAACTTAAGAAGTCAGACATTAAGAAAGAAGACCATGTTTTAACTGTAAGCAAAACCTTTCATGATGATTCCAGGAACTTCCTGTGACTTCACAGGACAAAACTAAGATTTCTTTTTTTAAATAGCTCTGTGTGTGCACAAGGGGTTTTGGGAGGCCGAGGCCAGGCCCCACACTGTTCATACGACCATTTCGGGTGTTATTTGGGCACCACTGGTTGTGTAGTGCACAGCCTGCCTGGCTGTACCTGGCATTCCTGCGTTGAGGAAAGTTGTGAGACCGTAGGCGTGAATACTATTTTACAAATGAAATAGGATTCTACCTGGCTTGTGAGCTTTCTTGCACTTTACATTCTTACTTTACTTATACATCAATGCAGACCCTACCTTTACACACTTGTGCCTCTGTAAGCCACATATCAGAAGAGGGGACTGCAAAAAGTCACAGTCATAAGAGGAAGTGAGAGCTCACAGAACAGACAGTAAAAACACATCAAAACCAATTCAAGAACTTCTATTGTTACACGATGGGCAAAGAGAGCTATATACTTTGTTACCCCAAAGTCTAATTATTTAAATCCAGAATGTTATATCCAGGACGCCTCATAGAGAACTATGTAACATTGGTCTATTTGCCATTCAACCAATGCATGTGTGAGAAGTTTATCATGTGGAGTCTTGAATACTCTGTGCTGATTAGGGTTGGAGGCATGATGAGCAGGGCCCAGGCAGTTTCAGAGCTAAAAAAATGAGTCATCCAGAAACAGACTTTTTGTACCAGGTAACTTGAACCGTTCCCAAGCAACCATCCCATGACAGAGGAGCGGAAGAAGAAGGGAAGAACTCTCGGACTCACTGAGTGCCTTCTACAGGCATGACACTGAACTAGGTATTCTATTAATAATGTAAGGTGGACCCTGGTGACTATTCCCATTTTACAGCTGAGGAAACTGAGGCCCAGAAAGGCTGAGTAACATGTCCAAAGCCCGCAGCTAGTGGGAAGCAGAAATAGGATTTGAAACTAAGTGTGTCCCACTTTAAAACCCTTCCTGGTCATTAAGCAGTCTCCAGGTTAGAGGACAACGTGTGGTGGTCTAGGGAAAAGAGAGAAGCCGGCAGGACTCTGGTTTCAGGGGGAGCCCCTCCTTATCTTAAAGAGAGGCACCCAAGAGAGGATGCTGGCCTTGGCATCTCCTCATCGAAGCCAGCTCCTTCTGAGGTTTGGCTCTTCCCATGAAGAACTTTGCATAGGATTTAGCACATAGTAGTTGGTCAATAAATGATTGCAATTTTTGTTTCTGTTGTTGTTATGTATTACTGATATATGAGGACTTAGCCTCAAAAAGAAGGTAAACTAGCTAAGCGTTTAACAGCACAAGGCATGCCCCAAACCACATCCTACATTTTGTTTTATTTTTAAATACTTGAGGTTCCAAGGAGCAATTATTGAATGAATAAAGGAATGAATTAATGGATAGATTCTTTGACTACCCCAAGGAAGCTCCAATTTGGGAAACTGCTTTGGAAAATGTGAACTTAAAGCTTTATAATTTAAATTTAAGTGTTTATAATTTTATCTATGGGTTTGGGGTTTTTTTTGTTTACTTCAGCATTTTTTTCAATACCACTCTTTCTGAGGGCAAAGTGAACCTGTGGGTATTACATAAGAACAATCTTTTGCTTCTAAAAGGTCTTGCTGCTTACATTCATCACAATATTTCTGCATCGTTGGAGGATTTGCTGCTGCTGTTTAGTGTCTTTTGTTTCTTAGTGTGAAAATGGAGAATATGTCAGTCTCATTGTCTTCAAAATCATAGTAGGATTATTTGCACTTTCTCTATATTTTGCTTTTTTAAGAATTTGGAATCATTTAAATTTAATTTTTATGGTAGAATAGCTGTTGTCTCAGCAAGCATATATAATCAGTTTAAACTGGGAGTTTCCTGAAGTGTGCAGTATGGGATAGATAAACCTTGATTTAAAGATTGACTGTCCAAGAAGGAAAAAAAAACACGTTTGGCGCTCTCCTGGGATATACCTTAGGTGTGTTTCCTGGTATGTGTGTGTCACATGTAGTTCCAATTAAGGGCCATGTTGTGTGCATTCCATGTGGTGCCTGACATATATGTTGTTTGACTGTATCGGGTGTTCCTTGTAAAGAAGGCAGTCCTCGCAGTTGCGATGGCAATGTTATCATATACTTTAGACTGCTGTTTTGCTTCTAATTAGCATAGTGGTGATCTGCAAATGTTCTAAACCACATATTCATATTTCTAGGATGCAGCATGCTCCTTAGAGATATTTTGCAAAGAACATGTTCTACTGCATAGATTTAGTGTGTCCAGGTGGCATTTGAGTGAAGGTATAATAATTTTCCTTTACCAGAAAAAATAAATGCCTTCACTGTGTGTTTTAGAAATTTATTGTTCAGAAAACCAGATTTGGCTTAACTGAAGCAGGAGATCTGTCTGCTGAAGACATGAAGAAAATCCGCCATCTCTCTCTCATTGAATTGACTGCCTTTTTTGATGCCTTTGGAATTCAACTGAAAAGAAACAAAACAGAGAAAGTAAAAGGACGAGGTAACTAAGAAGACTGATTGCTTCTGGCTTTAACACTTTGACACAGTGGAATAAGATAATGCTTTTCTGATTCTTTTTTCTTTCTCCCTTTACTGGCTCACAATGAAGACAATGGGATTTTTGGAGTTCCGCTTACGGTCCTCCTGGACAGTGACCGAAAGAAAGACCCTGCAGTGAAAGTTCCCCTGGTATTACAAAAAGTGAGTAGCAGGCAAACGAAAGGGGAATTCACAGAGCCTCATGCTTATGATTTGTTACTTTGTAAACCCAAAAAAATAAATTTTCTTTTAGATTTAAAGACACTGTCGCCCTATTAGGGCCCAGGCCCCTGGTGATTTTCAGCTTTATTCCATGAACCGCGTAACAGCCCATGGCTCCTGGACGAGTTGGCCTTGCTGCATTCTTTTGGAGCCTGTTACGTTTTATTTGCTCATAACACATCAGGTGATGGACACAGATGTTCTGACCCAGGGCACAAACAGTCACATTTTTTTCCAATATTTTTTCAAATGTTATTTGCACCTATGAATGTGTTTGTGTATTTGATTATTCTGTCTAGATAAAGATGACCATTAATTATCACCATGCATATATAAACTATACAAATATTTGCTGAGATACAGCATAGGCTGGGTTTTAAAAATATGTATATGTGTAATCATTTTATCAATTTTCCAAACCAAGTTTAATAAAATCTAAAAGCCAGCATGTTCCGGCCATTTTCCTGTGTGTCTGGTCAGATAGGATACAGTTAGACAAAGAGAATAATTTGGGTGGAAGGAGGTTTTGAAGGTGGTGTTATCTGAACTATGAAATGCTAATGTCTCTGTGACTATTGTTGCTGAATACCTGATTTACTTTTAAGTCATGTTGTTTTATAGCCAACAGTTTACACTGGTTTTTACCTAAGTATGCATTTATTCAACAGTGACATCCAGTGGCACAATTAAAACTCCTAGTCCTTAACACAAATCTTGTTGAATTTTAAATCAAGTTTTTAAATGATAAAAATGATAAATACTGTCTAAGAAGCATATACTTACCTGACACTGCTAATCGTACGTCACTTGTTTAACTTCCTCTATTTTGTTACCAGTGCCTCAAAATGAGATAATTCTCAAGTCAGGTGACTGATTGGCTGGAGATAGGAGCCAGGAAGATGGCACCCAGATGGCCAAAGGATGCAAGCAACACCTTTGGACACACGGGCCGTCTGTGGGTGACTTCCCTAGGCAGGGCTGTGCCAGTGCTGTTTATGTAATGTCATGTCTAGTCAGCACGGAGCAGCCCAAGGATGCTGGTGTTACCATTGCCCTTTTACTGATGAGGCAACTGAGGGATAGAAGAGTGAGATAACTTACCCAGGACACACAGTCAGCAAGAGGTGGAGTGGGAACAGGAGCAGAGCGTATAGCAAAGTCCAGAGTCCATGGTGACGCTGAGATTTTCTTTCCTTCATTAAAACCAGCATTTTGTCCTGTATGTGAAGGACAGAGTTTAAAATATTCATCAAAATCAAAGACGATTCAGCACATGAGTTTATAATACTGTGTAGGTACAAAAATCTAGCATAGAACTTAGCAAATAGAAAGTACTCAATAAGTGCTAGTTGAACTAAATCTGGTTTTATATCGTATTAGCAACATGTTAGTTGTTATTACTACTGGATGTTAAGTGTTCCTCACTACGACACCTCAAGATAGTACTCTCCCGCTCCTACAAGACAGGCTTTTCTTACAGACATGTTTCTTCTTCCTAAATATCTATTTGTCTCCGTACCTAAAAGAATTACCTTAGTTCCAGGCACCATCCACCATCATTTCTTGAAAGGAAAATAGCAGAGACGCTGGATCCCCTTCTTACTGGGTGAACTTGGCCAAGTTATTATCCTTTCCAGAGATGCACTGTGAGCTGCTTTATTACAGCGAATTGAACTGTTTTCCTTAGACTCCTTAGCAGTAGAATAGGGGTAACGAGAGTACCTACCTCATAGGGTTATTGTGAGGATTAGATGCGTTAATGTAGGTAAAGGACTGAGAATAGGATCTTACACATAATCAGTGCACAGTACATGGTAGTGTTTATTACTTTTTTAACACCCATCACCATCCTTAGAACTCGTGAAAGCTATTAATCTTTACCCCGTCTAAACTCCTTGATCAGACATCTAGAATTCCTACCGTTTCTTAGTCAGAGTGATTGCAACCAATGACAGTAGATTTAGAATCTCTTGTTACTGATCAGTCTGCAGAAAGAGTTATAGTAATCAGATCTTAAAAATGGTTAAGAGGTATGTGTAATTTTAGAGGTGGTTAAGAGCGCAAACGAGTCGGTGCCATTACTTACAAGGTTGATCTCGGGAAAGTTGTGTAACTACTATAAATCTCTACTTTCTCATTTGCATGTTGGAGGATAATGTTGGCAGCATAGGATGGTTATGAACATTTAACAGCATTCAAGCGTCAGGCACGTATATGCTTGGTCACTTATTGATTCATGTCATCATTGTTACTGTTTTATATGTTTATGATCACAGAGGCACTTATTCTTGTAATATATCATTGCTTTCTAGTTTTTTGAGAAAGTTGAGGAATCAGGTCTGGAATCTGAAGGAATTTTTCGACTTTCGGGATGTACTGCTAAAGTCAAGGTACTGAACATTTTGTCTCTTCCTAGGTAGAGTTCTAAGCTAGCTAGACCCCGTTCACATAAGCATCGCGTATCTAGTCTTTGTTGTTGTTTATTAGATTATCACTTGGTCCTTCCTAGTATTCCTTGGTACCTGTGGTAACACGTTTGTTCCAGAGTGTTTTCATGATCCAGAATTTTAAAAATCAAGGCAGAAACATTAAAAAACCAAAAACAACAATGAAATAGCACATCAATTCACCATAAAAAACTGCTGCTTGCCTTTAGTTTGGAAAAGTTGAAACGTCTCACCACTGTTTTGGAGGTTAAACACCTTAGTTTGTTGTGTTCCTCTCAGCCATGGAATTCACTAAGCCAATGTTATATGAGCCTTTATTTCCATCATTCGTTGGTTTAAACATTCCTTGGCTCTCCCTTTAGTGAAAGCTCTTACAGGAATTTGTAACAGTGGCTATATAACCACTAGAATACTCACTCAGCAGTTCCAAAGCCCAGTTCCACTTACGGTAATGTTAACATCCACATCTAAAACCAGCTGTTCAGTGTGAATCTTCTTCCTTTGCTTTCTTACTTCCATGAGGTGGCCAACTCTACAGTATAATAGCGCAAAGAATTATTAGAAAAGAAAAGGTTTTCTCATAAAAATCCACCAAAACATCCCACTGTGTCTGTGGTAGGCATCCACCATGGAGAGCTCATTCCTGCAGTTGGATCACTCCCTGGCTTGCAAATGTGAAAACCTGAGCAGTTTTAAAAGATGGATCCCTGAGCAAACAGTCTCGGGGCAGGGGAAAACAAATGTGGTAATGTTTATCAAAAAGACATTTGTAGAGGCAAAACAGCATCTCTTCATTAATTCATTTTGGTACATGCTTTGGGAAATTCTATTTGTATCAGTCTCACAGTTTTTATATAGAAGTGTGATGAGAGGTTTTTCTAAGTGGAAACTGAGAATAGATAGGCTGTGTCTATTGGATCCTCCAGAAAGCAGATGCTGAGATGGGTGAGGAGCAGAGGAGGGTCATGGCAGTACTGCTTCTGCAGGATGAAAGGGGCAGGAATCAGGATTGGCTGGGGTGAGGCTCTGACCACGGTGCAGGTCTGACAATTCCTAATCGTGGAGGAGCTGTGTGCTGGGCAGAATGGGCCAGGCCCTAGTACCCGTGCCTCCCTCCGTCGTGGGCTGGGGCTTCCTGCAGAAAATATGGCTGAGCCACATCTGGAAGGGGCCTGCAGCTGGGAGAGTCTGCTACCTGAGCTTTTGCACATGAGGGCGAGGTCTTCCGTGAAGGGAGGTCAGAGCAGGGCACCAGGACTCAGGGCTCCGGGCATGTTGAGGGGTTACGACTTCCCTGAGAGTGGAGTTGGCTGAATGCTGGCACAAGTTCTTGTGGAAGGCAGGGAGAAGCCCAACAGCTCCTTAAGGTTTATGCTTTCTAAGTTGAATCTGCTTTTTGTCTCCATTTCTCGTGTGTTTGGTTCCTACATACTCTTCTATACAGATGTATCCTACACGTAAGGATGAAAACCGTTACTTATTTTGGTTAAATCTTTGGTTATGTCTGCAGAGTCAGAGAACCAAAATGAAAGAAAGAAATTTCCTAAACAGAAACATATTCCATCTCTTGAAACCTCTGTCCATAATTGGGAAACTATTTGCATATGTTCTTCCTGGTTCCTCTGTGTGTGTGTGTGTGTGTGCACGCGCGCGCGTGTGTACACACGCATGCATGGGTGTATAACATGCATAATGGATATGATTTAAATGTCTTGTTTCTAAATCACCAAAAGGAGAAAACGTTACAGGGCATGTCTTATGTGCACAAAGTTTAATGTCATAGCAGCAGTTACCTTTCTTTGTCTAATCTTCCACTGAAAAATGCTTCTCAAAGGCTAATCATTCCTTCAGAATGTTCTTATAGGCACGTGCATTCCTGGACCACATATAGGCCAAAGTCTTTTTTCTCCCCAGTTTTACGTAGTTTCAGCCTATTTATTCCATCACTTATTAGTGGAAAATGTAATCCAGATGTTTTCATGGTTTGAGCCCCAGGAAGGCCAATGTGAAAGAAATCTGGGCAAGTGAACAGAAACCGGGAAACACTGCAGTTAGAAAGGCATTGAAACGTGATGCGTTAAAGGGCTGTTTATTCCTCTCCTTCATTCAAGCTTTTTATTTAAGCTACCTCCTTTTTTGTAATTCATCCACTGAACTACTAAAAACTCCATTATAATTATCCTCGAATTGAACCACGTCGATGATTCCAGCCCTGTGGTCCGCTAGTGTATCATTACTGTGAATGGTCTGGCCTGGCTTTGTGCTTTAAATGCTTGGGGAGGCTGACAGAGAAGCAGCCCTGGGAGGAAGCTGCTGGTTTTAGCCAAACAGGGAACACGCAGCTGCGGAGCCAAGTCCCAGACTCGAGGCCTCAGCTCATTTGGAACCAATTTAATGCTTTGGTTGGTGTTTGCAATGATTTTCTTTCAAAAATGACAGAAATTTGAGCCAAACACCGGGGAATATATTTTATGGAAAGAGACAGACTGTTTGACATGCGAGTTTTTCTTTTTTGACTAGTTCGAATCATTCTAAGGCTGTTCTAAATGTTTTATAATTACCTCACCTGGCTTATTTAGGCTGGTCATTTGCATTTGTATAAAACTACCTCCAAAATAGAGTCAGGTTGCATTTTTGCTGAAGGGAGTTTTAATGACAAGACTTCTCATCCTTGCCTAGTGCTCTCAGTAACAGGGGTCAGAAAAACAGGGCTTCGGAACCTCTAAGTGCTCCCTGTCTTTGGCAAGGTAAACTCACACCTGGTTGACATGGTTTCACATTGGGACCACCATATATAGGTCAGCTCTGTTCAGAACCAAAAAACAGACAATCTTTCTCTCAGCGTTGCTTTATACCAGCCATCCAGACAAGATGACGCGGTATTATTCCCTAAACAGTCACACCGCATACGTGTGGGGTTCCCATAGTAATGACACTGCGGGTTAGAAGAGACCTGAGAGTGGGGGAGGGGCAAGCAGTCAGTGCGGCGTTTATTGGGAGCTGTCAGCAGGACCTGCCACTTGTTTTGATCTTGGGAATGTCGTTTTAATGTTCCATTGTACATTGGGAAGGTTGAAGCACAGACCATACCCTAGTCAGCTGCAGAGTCAGGATAAAATCCTAAAGGATCTGGTTGTAGCACCTGCCCTTGACCCAGGTGCCCTGTTGCCCCTTAGGTGACCGGGCACTACTCACAGGTTAGGATGGCCACATTCGTGATTCAGATAGATTCCTTTGGCAGGGGTATGTGGAAAATGAATTTGAATTCTTCTCCTCTCGCTGGTGCTTCCTGTGCACTTGGAAAACAATGTCCCCTTTGCTTCACTGCAGTGGTACCAGGTGATTGATGGGAAATGCTTACTCCTCCTCCTGTATTTTTCCTATTAACAACACTGCCATCTGCCCATTACAAATCAGATGGAAATCATCTTGGAAAATCATCTCTGATGATTATTTCTCCCTCTGAGTCTCCTATTCAATCCATCACTGATTCTTGAGAATTTTCCCTCCTGGGCATTTCTTAAATGCCTCCTCTCCTTTCTATCCTACAACTGTTTATCCAGATTAGTCCTTAGTTATCCGTCCCTGGAAGTGGTGCCGTGGCCTGATAACTGGGTTCTTTGCCTGTCACTTGCTTCCACCCACCTGACCTGTGCCAAGCTCCACGCTCCCCCAAATCATTTTCCCATCTGGCTGTCAGAAAAGATAAATTTACCCTTGCCATTCCTGTGCTTAGAGATGTTCCAGTCTGCCTCATTGCCTACAGGGTGAAGGCTAGTCCCCTTAGCACTGGCGCTGGCTGCTCTCGAGCCTCATTCCTTGCCCTTGATGTGCCAGCAAGGCTGAATGAACTGGAGTTCCGCAGACACTGGATCTGCTGGCATTTGTATCACTGCTTGAGCAGGATCCCCTTCGATTTTCTCTCTCCTGTAATCCTCAAGACTTGGCCCTAGCAGCGTTTGACTCCTCTCTTTCCTGGCTGCATAGCACCAATACATGACTTTTCTTACAGCATGTGCACTCTGAATTCGTAATATCACCCATGAAATAGTCCCACCCACTAGATTACAGGACACCGAAAGGCAAAGAATGGATCTCATACATCCTCCTCTTTTCAGAGCCCACTCTATATCTTTCATTCTAGAAAGAACTTTATATTTATGCTTAAGATTTTGTAAAGTGTATTTATCACCAAAGCGTTTCTTGATTAGCTGAAGTATTCCTGTAAGATTGAAAGCTTCTCCAGGACAAGAAGAAAATCTCCTTTTGATATTATCAGTAGGGGTTAGAGGGTGCATCATAATCACGTGTATCTCTGTAAGAAACTTGGGCTGCCAGGGACCTCCAGTTTGCAGGCTCTGGGAGCCAAGAGAGTGATTATGGCTGGCTGGTTAATGAGCTGATCCTTATTAGGAAAAGGTCAGATGTGCACACTGACTCTGGCTGTGCAGGCTCAAGGCCAGAAGAATTAGGCTTCTCATGAGAATAAAGCCAGAGGTCTTAAAGAAACAGAGCTTTTAGAGTTCCCTTTCTAAGTATCCTTTCTGGAGCAGTCAGTGTCAGCTGGGAGACTGACTATAACTGCTAGCATTATAGGTAAACCTTGTAGTTCAAAGGAGCAGTAAAAAATGAGTTTGCCTTTGAAAAGAAACATGAAGCCTGAGTGGCATTGATAATCAGATGAATTAATAATGTAAAATTTGTAAGCCAAGTAGAACTTACGGAGGCTTAGAGATTTTTTTAAAAGTATTTGCACAGTGTTCCAAACCTTACGAAGGATTGGGCAAGCGTGCAAACATGTGGAAGACATGTGTCTGTCTTGGAATAAAACTTTGCTGTCACTGCTCCAGGAAGATGTCATAGGTTTGCATGTTGCAGTGAGGTCAGAGTTACTTTGTTGGGTTAGTTCTCATCCTGTATGTGAACTGGCTAAGAGGCAAACCTTCTTGATCTAATTTAGAAATAGAGGATAGCAGAAGGCATTATGAAATAGGGGGAACGGAGACTTTGTCAGAATCCAACAGTGTATTTATCATGTGGGAATAGTGATATTCTGCCAAAACCACAGAAATGAAACTGTGATCAGAGTAGAGAACTTCTATATTTGTGTAGAATTAGAAAATTATTTCAAGATTAACATTGTCTTTTAAATATTTTAGAAAATTGTTTTTAAAAATTCATCCTCACATAGCTATTTCCCTTAATCCCTTTGAAAAAAATTACTCTTAGGAGACATTACCTTACCAGTCTGTTTACAAAAATACTTTATATAAGAACAGTTTTGGAAGGGGAAAATGGGGTCACGTGGTAAAAACGCATTGAATATTGACTGTTTTCCTTGATTTACAGCAATACCGTGAAGAACTTGATGCCAAGTTTAATGCTGATAAATTTAAGTGGGACAAAATGTGCCATAGAGAAGCTGCAGTAATGTTGAAAGCATTTTTCAGAGAACTACCCACCTCTCTCTTCCCTGTGGAATACATACCTGCCTTCATCAGTCTAATGGAAAGTAGGTGGAAGACGTCAAATGTGAATACGCTAAGATATAAGGTCGTTAAAGTGAGAGCAGAAGAGAAATGCTGAATCAAATGTGCTCATATATAGATTTGCTGTGTCCTGACAGTGCTTAGTGGAATATTAAGTTTGATGGCAAACAGTCACCTACTTACATACTTATATACTTAAGCCTGGTTTAGAGGGTTTTATAATCATTAAAAGGCAGAGGGGTTTGCAGAAAGACCAGGCTCTTGAGATTTGGATTCCTGTGCCACCATCTGTTAGCCATGCAATCAAACCTTCTGAGCCTCAGTTACTATGTCTGTAAATTACAGATCATAATTACTTGTCAGGGTAGCCATGGATATTGAATGAAGTCATTTAGAATAGAGCCTGGTGTGTGGTAATGCATCAAAAAATAGGACATCACTCCCTTTCTTAAATCTGAGGTCCTAGGTCTGATGATGCAGCATGCAATAAATACTTCACAGAAGATAATTTGTCTCTGAAAATTACAAAGTCATATAGATTAGGCCTTTAAGTGAAATGTGTGGGCAAAAGCACAAAAATTATAAAGTGTGTGTCGTAATTGACAGGAATCATTTGGCATGGTTTGAGCATAAAGGTTGAATATTGTGGAGGATGTAACAAGAGAAAAGTTTGGAAAAGTAGAATGGGGGTACATAGTGGGGGCTTTAACTGTTAACCTGGGGAGTTCAGGGGTCAGAAGTCTAAATATGTATGAGCATGCTAAGTAAATGTTGATTCTACATGGACCGAAAAGGTCTGTGTCCAAACTGAGAGGACACACCCCATCTAGAGACACTGACCACTGCTTGGTTCTTGATAATGGTTGCTGTGCCAGACTGAGAGCCAAATCCAGGCTTTAATGGGAAAACCTAATTTGAGAATGTCAGCCACTAATTTTTTTTGTTTGTTTGAGACAGAGTCTTGCACTGTTGCCCAGGCTGGAGTGCAGTGGCGCAATCTTGGCTCATTGCAACCTCCGCCCCCTGGATTCAAGTGATTCTCCTGCCTCAGCCTCCCAAGTAGCTGGGATTACAGGTGTGCGCCACCACACCTGGCTGATTCTTGTATTTTTAGTAGAGATGGGGTTTTGCCATGTTGGCCAGGCTCGTCTCAAACTCCTAGCCTCAAGTGATCTCCCCACCTCGCCCTCCAAAGTGCTGAGATTATAGGCATGAGCCACCATACCTGGCCCAGCCACTAATTTAAATTTTAAAATGTTGTGTGGACTTAACAGGTGATGTCTGTATCTGCCAGTTTACAATCTTCTGCAGTTTGGCCAGAACTACAAAATCATTAAAATTACAATGAAAGAAAATAATAGATCCTAAGTTGTATGACAAAATATGTCCTAAAATACATGTAGATTTTAAATCTTTGAATGTTTTTACTAAACCAGATTCATAAAATAATCTTTTGTGTCTTAAGAGAATAAGGCAGGCAAGGCAGTTGTTTTCTAAGCTTTAATTCACATGCTGTCCGTGACTAGTATCTCTTTTCTTTGTAAGCTTACTGTTTTTATTTTATGAGAAAAACTTGCTGAGAGAGAAGAGCTACTAATTTCCTTCATTCATGTTTATTTCAGATATTGTATTTTTTCAGTTCTAGAATTTTCAGTTGTTGGTTTTAAAATACTTTCTGTTTTTCTGTTGACGTGACCTATCTCTTCATGCATTAGAATCATATTTTCCTTCACAGCATTGAGCACAGGTACAATAGCTGCTTCAGAATTGGCAGCAGGTGCAGTGGCTCACGCCTGTAGTCACAGCACTTTGGGAGGCCGAGGCGGGCGGATCACAAGGTTAGGAGATCGAGACTATCCTGGCTAACATGGTGAAACCCTGTCTCTACTAAAAATATAAGAAATTAGCAGGGCATGGTGGCGAGCGCCTATAGTCCCAGCTACTCGGGAGGCTGAGGCAGGAGAATGGTGTGAACCCAGGAGGCGGAGCTTGCAGTGAGCCGAGATCGTACCACTGCACTCCAGCCTGGGTGACAGAGCAAGACTCTTGTCTCAAAAAAAAAAAAAAAAAAAAAAAATTCCTGTTGGCTAGTTCCAACACCTGGGATATCTCAGGGTTGATCTCTGTCTTCTCTAAGAGTAGGTTACACTTTCCTGTTACTTTGTATGTCAAGTAAGTTTAAAGCTTATTCCGAACATTATGAATATAGTGTTTGGAGACCATGGATTCTGAAGTATTTCTCCAAAGAATGTTGTTTGGTTTCTTTTTCTATTGTTGCTCTTTGAAGCAGGCAGTTTGCTTGGCTGGACTCAAATTGCCAGTGGTCTTTTGGGCAGGAGCTCGATTCTCCGTTCAGTTGTTCAGTCCTTTGCCGTGTTACCCCACACACATGGTTTGTGGCTCAGCCAGAGATTTGGGTGAAGTTTATACCAGAATTAGGGTCTTCCATCTCTGGATCACTCATTTGTTTTTGTTTTTTGGTATTTTGAATTATGTAAGGAGGATTCAAAACCTCTAATTCCAGATCTGTTCAGAGAATCATATTTAAGAAGGGTATATGAATATATTAATTTTCATCTTCCAAAATATTCAATCCTTATGTTCAAACCATGCCAAATGATTCCGTCAGTTACAAAACATACTTCATAGTTTTTGTGCTTTTACCCAAATACTTCACTTAAGACCTAATCTGTATGACTTTGTAATTTTCAGAAATGTTGTGTGACGTACTTTTCAGAGACAAATTACCTTCTGTGTAGCGTTTACTGCATGCTGCATCAATATTGCTGCCTATCTGACTGCAGCCAGTACATTTCACTGAAGGGAGAGGTTCTGAGAAATATCCTGAAAGGGTTCACAAAGGAGTCCACATTCCTTCGTATAGCTTTGAAAGTGAAAAATACTATATTGCAGGTGGTTGATTTGATACCAGCGAACCCTGCAGGAAGCCCAGAGTTCTGGCCTGCTACCAGCAGGAAATAATGGCCTTTTTGCCACCTAAGTAAGCTCTAGTTGTAACAAGATTTTCTGAAGGGGAGGACTGTGAACAAGTGCATGTGTGTGTGTTTAAGCTGTGCCTCTCAATACCGTCAGATGGAGCTCAGAGAACACAGAGCCTTTCCCACTAATATTACTTTCTCTTTTCAAACTTGACCCCAACCTTGACTGTAAAATTAAGGACTAGTAGTTCATCAATCAAGCCTCGGATGCTTTCATTACTTGCTTAGTAACTTTCTGGGGAAATAACGACCTCAGGAAAGGGAATACTCGTGGCTGGGATGTATTAAATGAATTAACTACAAAACTATTAACCACAAAACAGTGTTTCCTAAGTAAAATGAAAAGGGAATATTTGCAAAATTAAACTTAATCTTAAAAGAGCTTCATAATTTCTCTGAAATTAATGGACACACAGTGGTCCCAAGCCTGTATCTGCGTCTCTTGGTTTTTTCCCCCAGAGTTGTTTTTTTTTTTTTTAATTGCGTTGGAAGATTAGAGACCGTTCTCAGACTGCAGTTTATGCACTAACATAATGTCTTATCTGCCCCTAAATGCTTTGCACTGAGACTTGCTCTTAAAGTTTCTATTATTCAGGCAAGCTCACATCAACCTGTATTTGCTGTTTTCAGTAACATCCTGGACCTGTGTCATTATAAATTTGATACAAGTATCTACAAATCCACACGTGGATTTTTCTTCAACAATATGATCCTCCCTCTCTCGCCATATGACTTGGTTGTATACACTTGTCATCTACTCCTGAACTCTAGCACACACAGCTCCAGTAACCTAGTAGCTTGTCACAAGTGTTTCCACTGCTGTACAGCTCAGTTAACTTCACCGGCAGCTGACTGCCTTCCAGCCACTGAATAGAAACAGATAGATTTTCCTTCAACTGGAGAACTCCCCAGAGATTCCTGAACATAATGCTTTCCTACAGGAACTCCCCACCAAGACACCATTTTGAAGAGAATACAGAGGGACAAAGGAAAGCCTAGATTCTCTGGTGTATTCTAAATTTTCAGCACAGCTGGTTGTGGATTATCCAGCTGTGGATGGAATCCCAGAGTATAAATGCCAACCCTCTGGCGCCATCTTGTGTCATTATTGAGGAAGAAAATCCTCAACAATCTCCAAAGATCCAACTACAGTCGTCACCTTCCCTAAGCGTCCATGAAAGATCTAGAATAAGTGTCATAGATCGTAAAAAAAAAAAAAAAAAAGAGCAAACATGTAGAAAGATAACTATGTAGAGGTACTGATTTAAGCACTCTACCTATATTAACTCATTTAATCCTCATAACAGCCTGTGAGGTAGGTACAATGACTATTCCTATTTTACAGATAATCAAGTAGATACAGATAATCAAGTAGATTAAATAACCTGCCCCAGGTCACACAGCGACTAAATAGTAGACCAGGATTGGAACCTGGTTCTAAATCTGTGTTCCTAATACTTACACTTTTCTGCCTCATTATATGGAAGCAAGGTTTTTTTTTCTCTTATATTGAGCTTTACTTCTATTTATAGTATTAAAGGAAGGGAAGGTCTGTGAAAGTACTTTGAAAGGGAAGTGCTATCCAACTTCAGAATTATTCTGAGGATCTCGTTGGCCACCTGCCTCAACAATGGCATGGTGGGATGGGAAAAGGAACTTGATGGACAGAGGCGCCTGTCCAAGTGAAGAAATTTACATTGCTGGGCACAAAACCTGAGTCTTTACCACCACAAGCTGTCAGGAGCCCTCCTGTGCCACCAGATGCTAGCAAGAAATGCTGTCGGGATGCATCAGGGTTATTTAAAATGTATGCCTATTTCTGTTTTCTTGTTAGGAGGGCCTCACGTCAAAGTACAGTTTCAAGCCTTACACCTCATGGTCATGGCGCTGCCTGATGCCAACAGGGATACAGCTGAGGTACGTCGTGTCCACCTCACGGCTTGTCAGGGGGCTCTTATTGCTCAGAGGATGTGGCTCATATAGGAAAATGAAAATGGAGATGACAACTCACTGAGCCACCTGAGCATGCTGCCAACACACGGCCTTTCTGCGCTCCCACTGCCCTTCTCCTGAGGAAGACAAGAAAGAGTGGAGATCTTGGTATCTTCTTTTTTTTTTGAGAGACAGAGTTTCGCTTTGTCACCCAGGCTGGAGTGCAGTGGCACGATCACAACTCACTGCAGCATTGACTTCCCAAGGCCGGGTGACTCTCTCATCCCAGCCTTCCAAGTAGCTGGGACTACAGGCATGCGCCACCACACCCGGCTTTTTTTTGTAGAGACAGGGTTTCGCGTGTTGCTCAGGCTGGTCTCTTAACCCCAGGGCTCAAGTAATCCTCCTGCCTCAGCCTCCCAAAGTGCTGGGATTACAAGTGTGAGCCACCACACCCGAGTGGTATCTTTAACTTTCATTCACTCTATTCATCCCAGAGATATTGGCTGTCTATCCTGTGTCAGGCACGGGGCAAGGTGTTAGGAGTAGGAGAAGAGGCAAAGATGAAGGCTTAAATGGGACAATGTCAGAAGTCAATAAGACCATTATGTAACTTGTAAAACAGACTCTAGAATTGCTGGTTCTCAGCTACTCTACTCATGTTAGTCTGATGTACAGAAGTGGAAAGAAAACTCTGATGAGCGTCCTCGGGGAGGAATTGGAAATCACTAGTTTAAATTATATTTCCAACATGTTCACGTTTTTAAATTTATGAAAATAATTCAATTTAAATACTTCCAGAATTTCAGAATTTTAGAGATCATCTGATAGAATTTGGTCATTTTACATATTAGGAAAATGAAGCAGAAAAGTGATTTCTCCACTAATATATAATAGAACATTTGATAGAATCATATTCTATAGTTTCATCCCCAATTTTTCTCCCTTTATTTCACATTTATTCTTTGCTGTATGTTGGTAAAAATCAAAGTTTCTCTTGCTCTCTGGATAATCATTCTATATACAATAGGAAATTTATTTTAAGTACAACAGGTATTTGGAATCTTTGAAATGAAATTGAGATAAGGATGAGTTGAAAAGAGATGGTAATTTTGAGGCCAGTAAACATAATGCTGAAAACAAAGATGGTTGTTAGTGCTGCCTCTTATCACACATTTCAGTGTTCTAAGGACCTTCCTCCTACACAGCGAAAATATCTATGTCAATTATAATGTATGTCAGTCATATTATATCCTTGAGGCGAGGGCAGAGATCAGCTATGACATAAAAATGACCTTTTCTAATATAATTCAGTAATTTTTCAAAAGCTGAAAATTTATTAGCTTGTTTTTTGGCTTTGTGTACACAGTGTTCTTTTATCAAAAAAAATCCATCTGGTGTCAAATATCTGAGTTAAAACATCATCTACCCTTTCATACAACTGAGGATGCAGCATTTATCAAATAATTTAATACATTTCTAACAAAAGGTCCCCCCAGAACATCACGGGACTGGTGAGGATGTTACACACATGCGCTCTCTCTCTCTCTGTCTCCCCCTCCCTCCCTCCCTCTCTCTCAATTTTTTATTCTAAATTGTGAGTGGAGCTAAGATTGCGGCTGGTGTGAGTTAGAGGTCAAGAACTCTAACTGAAGAATTGGTTCCTTTGGTTCAGATCCTGGGTCTGCCACTTAATTAACTGATGCTGGGCAAAGCTGCTTAGCCCCTCTCCACCTGGCTCTCTTCATCTGTGAAATAATAATAGTACCTACCTCACAGGGTTTGAATGATGAGAAGTGAATATATATAAAATACTAAGGGTAACGCCTGGCTCACAGCAAACCCTCAGATGAATGCTGACTATTATTACTCTTCAGTGCTGTTCTTCTCATTGCGAATACCGTATGGTGGAATTCAAACTCGGAAAGCCAAAGAGCACTTCTTTTGGGGATTTCATTTGTCTTGGTGAACTTGAGAAGTGTCTGATAAGTATTTATACTTCGGTAACACAGCAAACTTGTATTAAGCTTTGTCAATTCTTTTTTTTTTTTTTTGCTTCAAATACCTGCACACAAACATTTGCTTTTGGCCAGCTGACAATTTCCAAGTTGAAAAGCATAGAAAAATAGCACCCAAAAAGTCCATTTTTTTTAATTGTTTAGTTGAGTTTACATTCAGGCTGAGGAATGAGACCTCCTGTTGTTTAAGTGGATTTTCCTCTCCCTAGGAAATGGTAAATAGTTTTCAACAACAATGCTTTAAGGTAAGGGTATTTTTCAGAATTACTTTTCTTCACAACAAAACTACCTTTCATGTTTATTGAACTGCAGCGTTTTCTCTTCCTGGTTTATATTTAATTTTAACACTTGTCAAACTCTTTTAGGATAAAAGAAAAGAAAATGCAAACCATATTTATAGAAACTGCAATATAATAAAATCCATTAAAATGGCCACTTTTACGAAGCAGACATTTGAATATACTGCTCACATTTCTTCTCGGTACTTTTAACCAGTTAGAGGGGAAACATGGTACGTTGAACCATTCTGTACTTCTGACAGTTCTCTGGCAGCAGAGTGAATGGGAACAGAATGAACGATAGCAATCAGGAGCACCTTTTGACGGTGTGCAATTGTATGACACGATGCTGTTTCTTCTTAGGCCCTCATGACATTCTTCAGTAAAGTGATCGCCAATGAATCAAAAAACCGAATGAGTCTGTGGAACATTTCTACAGTGATGGCACCAAACCTTTTCTTCAGTAGAAGCAAACACTCTGATTATGAAGAATTACTGTTAGCAAACACTGCGGCCCACATCATCCGCCTAATGCTTAAGTACCAGAAAATTTTGTGGAAGGTGAGTGACGTTGTGATGACAGGTCCTCCTCGGAAGTCCATGGCCTCAGGAAATGTAAAGGCTCCGTGACTGGGCAACTCCCTTGGTCATAGGGAAGAAATATGAGAAGATAACCCCAGGTGGCTGTGACATCCTTACAGCTTCCGGAAGGGCTACTCTTTATCACAGTTTCCCTTTGAAACAGGGATCCACATAATTTTTTCTAAACTTTATAAGGACGATGTCACCATTTCTGGCTCCAGGATACCGAGTGACTGGGAGGAGTTGCCATGCCTGAAGACAGAATCTGCTAGGGAGGTTGAATTCAGGTGTTTTCCATCCAGTCCAAGCTCTTTTTCTTCTCCAGGTTCCATCTTTTTTGATCACTCAAGTAAGAAGAATGAATGAAGCCACGATGCTGTTAAAGAAGCAGCTCCCGAGTGTCAGGAAACTGCTCAGGAGGAGGACCCTTGAGCGGGAGGTAAGACAGCGAACGAGGCACGGCGATTGTCCGCTGCCTAGATTTGTACTCCTCCAAGGGAGGCGCAAAGTAGCTTGTCATTGAGAACCAAGCGTTTCATATTCTTAAGGATCAGGGAGTGTTGTAACTATAAACATCGTGGAAAGTGGGTCCATGACAGAGTATCGGGGTCTTTGCATCTTGTTGAGAGTTATGTGCCTTTTGGTTAAAGTTCTTGAAATATCTCAGTCAGGAAGATTGTTTGATATCCCACCAGAAAGGCTAAAACGGTTCTCGCAAAAGCTGAAAGTCAACATTTTAGTCCCTGTCAACTTGATTTAAGGGCAATCCAGTATCCAAATGTCTAATACTTGGGAAAAGAGATTTCTTCATTGATCAGATAGTAAAGGAATAGCTAATCCTTAAATTATTTTGTGTAAATTCATTGCATTCCAAGGAATTCAGAGTCTTGTTTTAACACAGTTATTTGTGTGGAGGCACATAATGGAAACAAGTTTTAGAAGAATTATTTTTACTGCTTTTATTTAACTCGAGGGTGATCACAAGTGCCAGATACTGCATTCAACCTTGAGGAGGATGTGGAGATACCTGAAATTTACTTTGCCCTCAAAGGAATTTATACCTAATGTGGGAGACAAATGTATGTAAGAGCCCCAGGGACCCAGCAGGGAAGCACCAGGCCCGCTGTGCCAGGGCCATGCAGAGGAGAAGGAAATGTGCTCTAGCGTGGGAGACTGTGGATGGCTTCATTGAGGATGCAACATTGGAGCTACATTTTTTTTGAGACAGAGTCTTGCTCCTCCGCCTCCTGAGTTCAATTGATTCTCCTGCCTCAGCCTCCCGAGTAGCTGGGACTACAGGCATGCGCCACCCTGCCCACCTAATTTTTGTATTTTCAGTAGAGACGGGGTATTTTTAGTAGAGTGGGGGTTTCATCATGTTGGCCAGGCTGATCTCAAACTTCTGACCTCAGGTGATCTGCCCGCCTCAGCCTCTCAAAGTGCTGAGATTACAGACATGAGCCACTGTGCCCTGCCTGGAGCTACACTTCTTTTTATAGAGTTGGAGTCTTGCTCTGTCACCCAGGCTGGAGTGCAGTGGCATGATCATGGCTCACTGCAACCTCAAACTCCTGGGCTCAAGTGATGCTCCTGCCTCAGCCGCTCCAGTAGCTAGGACTATAGATGCACACCACCACACCTGGCTACCTTTAAAAAAAATTTTTTTTTATAGAGACGGCTGTCTCTATAAAAAAAATTTTATATTGCCCAGGCTGGTCTTGAACTTGTGGCCTCAAGCGACCCTCCCACTTTGGCCTCCCAAAGTGCCGGGATTATAGATGTGAGCCACTGTGCCTGGTTGGAGTTGTATCTTGAAGGATGGATACCACTGCGAAAGGAGAAAGTCCAGGGAAAAGGACAGTAAATGCCAAGGCGGCAAGGCGGGAGGGGGCGAAGGCGGGAGGGGGCGAAGGCGGGAGGGAGGGAAGGCGGGAGGGAGGGAAGGCGGGAGGGAGGGAAGGCGGGAGGGGGCGAAGGCGGGAGGGAGGGAAGGCGGGAGGGGGCGAAGGCGGGAGGGGGTGAAGGTGGGAGGGAGTGTTGCTGATTTATCATGATGGTGAGGAAAGAGTGTATCCTCTGACTCATGATAGGCAAAGTGACTTCATAGCAAGTAAAACCAATACTTTTATTTAGAAATGAAATTTTTTAAAATTTGTTTTAATTGAGAAAAAAAATCACATAATATAAAATTCACTATGTTAAGCATTTGAAATTGTACCAATTCAGTGTGTTTTAGTATATTCACAATGTTCTGCAACCATCTCAGCTTACTGCAAGCTCTGCTTGCCAGGTTCAAGTGATTCTCCTGCCTCAGTCTCCCAAGTAGCTAGGATTATAGGTGCCTGCCATCATGCCTGGCTAATTTTTGTTATATTTTTAGTAGAGAGAGGGTTTCACCATATTGGCCAGGCTGGTTTTGAACTCCTGACCTCAGGTGATCTGCCCGCCTCGGCCTCTCAAAGTGCTGGGATTGCAGGCGTGAACCACCACACCCAGCCTGAAGACTTTTTCTAGTTAGTCCAATGTCTGGACTTCCTTAGACAGTTTCTTCAGAAACTGTTGCTTTTTCTCCTTGTATAGGAGCAATATTTCCTTGACTTTTTTTACCTAACAGCTGTTTGGACATTTTGAGTATTATAATGTGGCAACTTTGGAAATCAGATTCTTCTCCCTCCTCAGGGTTTGTTGCTTCTGCTCTTGTACCTATTGTTTGTTTGCTTCATGACTTTTCTCGTGAACTGATTTTGTAAAGTCTGTATGCTTTGTTTTGTGTGGCTATGGAAGTCTATGTTCCATTAGTTTAATGATAACTAATGATCAGACAGAGATTCTCTTAAATGCCTGGAACTAAAAAACCTCCCAGTCTTTGCAGATGAGCAGTATGTGTGCTGGGGCACACCTTTAGCACTCACCAAAGCAGTTTCTAACTCTGCCTGAGCCCTTGCTTCCTGCTTGCACAGAACCTGAGGATCAGCCAGAAGTTTATGTTTCCAGCTCCTTCTCAGTCATGTGGCCTTTATATTCTCAGGAATATTTTAAGGCTTTTTACAACCTTTATTTTCCAAAGCATCTCAATCTCCAGCCTTGCCTCCCAGGCTTTTTAGTTATCTCTTGTTTTCCTCAATTCTGATCCACTGCGTCAGGCAACTGTGACAAAAACACTTGCCTGTAAACGTTTTTGACATTACACCCCTTTAGCACCCATCAAGTTCCAAGTTAGGCAAGGTAAAGGCAAGCCTTTTGAGCCAGTCTTTGAGGGAGCCACCAGACAAATGAGAGCAAATCATTAGAATTCTTGAGCGAGGTTCATTCTGCTCCCTGCAGTACCCCTGCCAGAAATGCAGGCCGTTATTTTCAAGGCTATCACTGAATTGGAGAGCAGGGGTGGAAAAGCATAAGTAAAAATGACACACGGCTCTTTCTCTTACGTAAGCACTCCCCTAGTTGAAGCCTTTGGATTTGTGTCCAGAGTTCTAAAAGAGTCAATACTGATAAATTTGCCAGTTCATCCATTGCTTCGATGGAGGGGCAGCCGTTTTCACTCTGGAAAACCGTAACAGTATAATTAAATGTGTGGAACAGAGGTCAGGTCAGGCCTTGTCAGTCACTACCCTGGACAAACTACATTCTTTCTTTGAGCCTCAATGTTCTTATTTCATAAATTGGGAGGGAGGGCAGATAATGATCTGTTTCACAAAGCTGTCATTAGGACGGACTCACATGTCTGTCACATGTTCACACAGTTCACACAATGTATGTGAACTGTACATTGCTATATCCATGTCACTTTAATGTTTTATTGTAAATAGAACCAAGATAGAATGTAAAGGTTATAAATACCATAGAAGCAAACACTTAAAGATATAGTTTTTCTTTCATACTGTTGTACTATACTGCTTTTTGGTTTTTCTGTTTTTATTTTTGTTTTTGTCTGTTTTTTTTGAGATGGAGTCTTGCTCTGCCGCCCAGGCTGGAGTGCAGTGGCGCGATCTCGGCTCACTGCAACATCCACATCCTGGGTTCAAGTGATTCTTCTGCCTCAGCCTCCCGAGTAGTTGGGACTACAGGCATGTGCCACCACGCTCGGCTAATTTTTTTGTATTTTTAGTAGAGACGGGGTTTCACCATGTTAGCCAGGATGGTCTAGATCTCCTGATCTCCCCACCTCGGCCTCCCAAAGTGCTCGGATTATAGGCGTGAGCCACTGCACCCAGCCGCTATATTGTGTTTTTAATTCTTAATTTTGATTGGAATAGACAGTTCATTAACAAGTTACAAATTTAGAAGTCAGGAAAGACCATGGAATAAAAATCAGCCACCTCCAACTTCCCCTCCTGGAGACAAATAGTATCACCAGGGCAGGGTGTGTGTACAGGAACATGCAGGTATGTAAACCTTCTGAGATGCTCCATCCGCTTACCAGCAAATATCAATGTATGTTCTTTCCCTTTTAACATGAATGTAGCATACAGGAAACACTGTCCTGAGTCCTGCTTTACTGACTTAACAAATCATGGGGGATTATTTTATATCAGTCCACAAAGCCGGTACCTTTGCTTCTCTGCTTCTTTTGCATGCTATTCCGTAGACACACAGTAAGTTATTTCAGTAGTCTCATATTGGTGAACAGTTTGTGTCTAATCTTTTGCTGTTACAATCCATGAGTCAGAGAACAAACATCTATATACATCATTGTTCACAAATGAAGTATATTTATAGGATAAATGCATAGATGTGGAGCTGTTGGATTAAAGTGCATATACATTTTATAATTTTATAAATATTGCCAAAATGTTCTCTGTAAAGATTGTACCAGTTTACACTTCCAAAAGCAACATATGCTTGTTTTCTCAACATTACTCCAACATTACTCCTAAAGACTGTGTTTCCTTTAGACTGCAAGCCCCAAGACTTCAAAGGTACTGCAAAAATCACCCTCGGCAAGAAGAATGGTAAGAAAAATAATTGCCTTTCCCTTCCATTAACTCCCTATATAGTCTTCTCTGGCAACATCCACCACATTTATGTATAATGTTTGTCATGAACTATCCTTCAAACTTGACATTTTCAATGTGGCACATAAAGGAATGGTAGAGGGACCTGACTGGCTGATGATTCAGAATGTGTGCCTGGGCCTCCTATACACAGCTACAATGTTGTGGAAAGTTATAGAAGGAACGAGATTATTAGATCATCGGTCAGTAGTGTCAGAGTGTGCAATCTATTGTATAGGGAGAGGCGTCTGCAGAGCTGATGAAATAGGACATAGACAATTAAAGGCGTACTTTAGGATTACAGTCTTGGCTGCAATGAGCCTGGGACTTGGCCCCCATCCAGATGCAAATCCCTCAGTATCTTTTCCTGAACTCCTGCTCTCATGGTTCTTGCTGGTAATGTTAGGAGAATATTGTAAGAACTGACTCTGTTCTAAAATATTTTGTGTTAGTTCCTTAGGGCTGCCCTAACAAGGTACCACAAATGAGGTGGCATAAAACAATAGACATTTATGATTCTTTCACAGTTCTTGAGGCTGAAAGTCCAAAATCAGGGTGTCAGCAAGCTTGGCGCCTTCTGAAGCCTGTGAGAGAAGCACCTGCTTCTTGCCCCTCTTTTGCTTTTGGCGATGCCAGTAATCCTCGGCATTCCTCAGCTGGTCTCAGCCTCCATCTTCACATGGCATTCTTTCTTGTGTCTCTTCTTATAAGGATGCAAGTCACTTGGGTTAAGGGCACACCCTACTGCAGTTTAGACCTCTTGTGTAATGGCCTCATCTTAACTAATTACATCTGCAATGACGTATTTCCAAATAAGGTCACGTTTCGAGGTACTGAGGGGTTAGGGCTTCAATTCGTCTTTTGGGGAGACACAGTTCAGCCCATAACATTTTTTTTCTAGGGTATCAATAGAATATTGATAGAATGTGACTCTAAGGAGTCCATTTATATAAATCATCTACATCAACAGCACTATCCTTTGAGAAGGTACAGATTTAAAACAATTAAGAGACACCATCTTTCCCACAGCCACTTACCCTGCTCTGCAGTGTTTTCAGTGCACTTTGAGGGGTCCCGTTTCAAGTGCCCCTGTGGAATTGAATTCGGGCCAGCCACTCATGGCTGCTAACTAAAGAAAGAAGGTATTGGAGAAGCCATATTTTCTAATTGACTCTTAACATTTTCAAAAGGTTGGTCTTCTTAAAATATATTGAAGTACAGAATTCTGCTTAAAGCAGGGTCAGTTAGGAGTTTGTCCAAGAAATGCATGAATAGAAACATTTGATCTTTGTCATAACCCAGTTTTTCCCCCTCATGATTTTAAGTCATTATAGCAAGACCTGCCCATGTGCAGTGAAAGTAAAATCCCAGGTTAAGCTTAGTCATGAGTGAGCCTCCAGCTGAGAAAGAAAGTAGTGTTCCATTCTGGTTAATGTTGATCATAGTGACGTGTTTTCTCAATTCAGAGTAGCACTGATTTTCATAGCTCTTAAGCGCATCATTGAGCTGATATTCGTCCTAGTTTGACAGAATGTACTGAATTTCTCCTCCTTGGCAGTCTGACGTGCCGGAAGGAGTCATACGGGTCCATGCTCCACTTCTCTCCAAGGTGTCCATGGCCATTCAACTCAACAATCAAACCAAAGCCAAAGACATATTGGCAAAATTTCAATATGAAAACAGGTAAGTCAATGTGATTGAAGGTCTCCGCACAAGAAGGAAAACGTTTACCAGACGAATAACTTTCTAGGCATTTACAAATTTGACCTTTTGTAAAATATAGAACCTGTTACTTTAGGGAGTTTACCAGTGGATTACTAGAAAGAAAAGAGAATGAATGAAGTTAGATATATGATTGCTAACAACAAAAGTTGTTTTTCAAAGGAATTTCTAGAAATGGGATTCTTAATAGGTATTGTCTATCTTGGTAGCTTCATTTATTCAGTGAGTTTTACCTTTTATTTTGTTTTATTTTATTTGTTTATTTATTGAGATGGAGTTTTGCTCTTTTTGCCCAGGCTAGAGTGCAGTTGCACAATCTTGGCTCACTGCAACCTGCACCTCCTGGGTTCAAGTGATTCTCCTCCCTCAGCCTCCCAAGTAGCTGGGATTACAGGCACGCACCACATGCCTGGCTAATATTTTTGTACTTTATTAGTAGAGATGGGGTCTCACCATGTTGGCCAGCCTAGTCTCAAACTCCTGACCTCAGGTGATCCGCCCACCTTGGCCTCTCAAAGTGCTGGGATTAGAGGCATGAGCCACTGCGCCTGCCCGAGTTTTACCTTTTATTTGAATGAAAATATAGCAAGTTAGTTTTGTGGATATCTTGATAGTCCTTCAAGAATAACATTTTCCTAGGCTTGCATTGGCTTTAACATGCCTGTATCAGATAGAGATTATGTAGTTAAGTGGATACCATAGCTGTTACTTTCCTTAAAACATACTACTAATAATTCTTAGAATCAGGATGATACGTACAAAAATTCTTTTTGCAAATCTGCCATGGTCACCTTGAAGGGGCACAGATCATGGTAATTTTTGTCTGGACATGCTTACTAAAGAATAAACATTTGTCTTCTGGTTTATAAAGGATGAGAAGTACTCGTTTATCCATTGTAGAGCATGTATGATTTGCTGTCTCTAGTAAGACTGATGGATGGGCCTTAAAATGAAAGCATTCCAGTCATGTTGAAAAGAAGTAGCCTTGTTGAGCAAAAAGCCAATTGAAAAAGTTAACATATTGCACAATTCCATTTGTATAACATTTTTGAAATTAAATTTTATTGTTGGAGGATAGATTAGTTGCCAGAGGTTGGGAGGGTTGATTTGGAAGGGAGATGGTTTTGGTCACTAAAGGCCAACATGAAGGACCCTTATGGTGTTGGAACTTGTGGTGTTGGGATCTTGACTGTGGTGATGGATAACTGACCCTCTATAAAATTCTATTGCAATTAATACACACACAAATGAGTACAAGTAAAACGGGGAAATCTGAATAAGATAGGTAGATTCTATTAATATCAGTATCCTGATTGTGACATTATGCTGTAGTTGTGTGAATTGCTACCATTGGGGAAAATGGCAGAATACAAAGAATCTCTCTGTATTATGTCTTACAACCACATGTGAATCTACAATTATCTCAATAAAATTTAAATTAAAAGAAAAACAAGTAGCTAGTAAAAGTCATCTATGGTGTGAGGTCAGGATTTTCTACCATCAGGAGAAAAACTCAGGAGATGGGTGCACCAAAATCTCAGAAATTGCCACTAAAGGGGGTAGTGGAAGGTAGGGGGTGGAGGAAGGCATAGCGACCGGAAAGGCATGCTGATGGCCTTGGAAGTTTTTTTTTCTTTTGGTATTAGATTATATGATGTGTTCACTTTGTGAAAATTCATCAAGTTGTGTACTTCTGACTTGTGCATTTTATGTATAATATATACACACACGTTAACCCGTTTCCCACTTGCCCCAACAATACGGCACTGAGAGCAAGCTGCACTTTCCTTCCTAAATGGGAAATGGGTTAAAAAAGAAAAAGAAGAGTAGACAGAGGTCAACAGGAGCCCCAAACATGTATTCCTCTTTGCTACTGGCCTGGACACCTCCACGTAGGCAGTCATATAGAGGCTTGAAATACCATTCAAGGGATTTGGGTATCCAATAGACTTCTAGTTACAGATAATACAAAGCTGACTTTGTACTCTCAAGTAGACCTTTTGTAGAAAGAAAATGTTTCTAATAAAAATAAATTAGAACCAATGACTCCTGATAGACTCAAATCTTTTATAACAACTTCTTCGAAAAATCTTAGTAACTCAGGAATGGAAAACCAAACATCATATGTTCTCGCTTCTAAGTGGGAGCTAAGCTATGAGGATGTAAGGCATAAGAATGACATAGTGGACTTTGGGGACTCAGGGGGAAAAGGGGGAAGAGGGTGAGGAATAAAAGACTACAAATTGGGTTCATTGTATACTGCTTGGGAGATACACACACCAAAATCTCAGAAATTACCACTACATAATTTACTCTTGTAACCAAATACCTGTTCCCAAAAAACCTATGGAAATAAAAAACTTTTTTTAAAATAATAATTTTAAAAAAATTGTGCCCCATCCGTTCTCTTTACTTGTTAGAACTATGGCCTATTTCAGTTTAAGTGTTGTAAACTGGCCCTGATTTTGCGTCTTTCACTAGAGGCTTATTTCTGACTGCCTACTCAGACCCCCATGTGTAAGTTAAAACAGGAGGGAGAAGACCCATTCCTTTCAGGTACTCTGCCTTACAACTAGTAAACCCTGGACAGTAACACAACAAAAAGCAGAGAAAGACTCTGAAAGGTGGAAAGACGAGGCCTTGAGAAATGACACGGTGGTGAGTTCTGGGAGTTTCCTTATCACCTCCCATGCATCCCAGACAGAACACTGTGGAAACTTCCAACCTGCAACTGACAATAGGCACAGATGAAAAAGAGCCCTAAGGAAAGCCTAGCCAAAGGATTAGGTAAAGGGGTGGCCTAACCACAGAAAACCTTTCTGGCAATATCTGCCCTACTCCAGCCAAACACCAACAGAAAAAACGCGCCACCGCCCCATGGTTTCAGTGGATCCAAGCAGGGAGTGGATCTGCCATCCACCACGTGCCACCTAACACAACCAGGTGGGTGGTCTGATTCCAAGCCAGGGTCGTGTCTGCAGGGTCCTGCAGTGAGCTAAGCTTTCCCCTTCACCCAGCAGCAATGAAACACAGTAGCAGTGAGGCAGTGCAAGGCAGGCCATTTAGCACAAGTGTCAGTAAGGCCCTGAGGGAGCTGAGCCTCTTCCCCCGACCATATGAGCAAAACTGAACAAGGCAGGCCAAAGCAGAGCTTACCTGTTGCCCTTACTAGTATCAGTCAGCCCCAGTGGGGAGCTGAGCCTCCACCTGACACCTGGTGGAAAGGGTAAGATGTGGGAACAGTTGACACTCTGTTCCCTCCCCTCCTCTTTTCTGGCGTCAGTGGGGCCCAGTGAGGAGCTGAGCTTCACCCTCAGCCTGCAACAACAAGGCAGTGTTAGCTTCTGTTTTCCACCACCCTGGTGGCAGCAGAGCCCAGCAGGGAGCTGATCTCACACTCCCAATTGGAGGCAATGAGGCAGAGCCAGTTGCTGTCCTGCTTTCAATGGGGCCCAGCAAGAAGCTGAACATACATGCCCACCCAGACCTTGTGCTAAACCTCAACAGGAAGACTACATGCCAAAAAATGAAGATTAAATAAGCCCCAGAGTCTCATCGTGTCATATCCAAAATGTTCACAATACAACCCAAAGTCACTCATTAAGACAAAACCACAACATGAATGAGAAAAAAGAAACCACAATATCAACACTAAACTAAATCAAATTTTAGAATTTTCTGACAAGAATGTTATAGCAACTGTCACAAAAAGTACTTCCACAAGCAATTATGAATTCTGAAACAAATGAAAAAGTAGAAAATATCAGCAAAGAAATAGATGTTATTTAAAAATATAACAAATGGAAATTTACAGAACTGAAAAATGCAAAAACTGAAGTAAAAAACTTGCTGAATGGGTGAAAAAACTTGTTCAGTAGTAGGGTGAAGATAATAGAGGATAGAATTAGCAAACTTGAGGACATATCAATAGTTTATCGATTATGAACAACAGAGAGGAAATAAACCAGAAAAAAAATGAACATAGCCTCAAGGACCTATGGGAGTCTAACAAGTGAGCTACATGTCATACAGAATCCCAAAAGGAGAGGAAATACAGAGTGAGACCTGTCAACTGTGAATTCTATATTCAGCAAAAATGTCCTTCTGGAAATGAGGGAGATATAAAGACATTCTCAGATGAAGGAAAACTAAGAGATTTGTTGCTAACAAATTGACCCATAAAGGATGGCTGAAGAAAGTTCTTTAAACAGAAAGGAAATTATAACAAGGCTTAGAACATCAGAAAGGAAAGGAGAACATCAGAGTGGGTACAAAGAGGGCTATAAACTATCCTACTTCTCATGCATTTTTAAAATCACATTTGGTGAGAGAAGCAAAAATTGTATCATGTGATACATTGCTCATTGTATGTAGAGGACACACTTAAGACAATTACATTTTAAAATGGTGGTGCACCCCCACTCCCTAAATGTGGTCTATGCAGAGTGACTTCCTTCCAAAAACTAGTGTGTAAAAAGGGAAAAAGCAACTTTACACCGAAGAAATCTGACCTCAGTTAGGTGATCGGGTTAATATTAGCAGTGATGTCATGTTGATAATATCCAAGTACACCCTTGATATGATAAAAACAGTCCTTTATCTCCGTGGTCTTCCTCCAAGAACACATAATTCCAATCTAAACATGAGAAAAACATCAGAAAAATCCCAGTTGAGGAACATTCTGTAAAATACCCTAGCAGTACTCCTTGAAACTGTTCAGGTCATCAAAACTAAGGCAACTGTGAGAAATTATCACAGCAGTCTAAGGAGACCCAACTACTATATTAATTTCCCAGTGCTGCCATAACAAATGACCACAAATTGGGTAGCTTAAAAGGTGGAAATGTATTCTCTCACAGTTCAGGAGTCCAGAAGTCTGAAATAAAGATGTCAGCAGGTAGATTCCTTCTAAAAGCTCAGCGGGAGAAACTCTGCCATGCCTCCCTCGTAACTTTTGGTGG